CCCAATTGGATAACTTTAGACATTAGCGGAATTCATCATCAAAAAAAAAAATTATCTCTTATCTACAAATAACAGGAGAAAATCTCGAAAATCCTATATATATATCTTTTTCTTTTTTCTCATTAATTTCACAATTGGAATTTTTTGCCAAAAAATTAAATTTTTCTTTTACAAATTAACAAAGTGTTTATAAATTTAATTTTTTCCGAGTGAAAATATATAAAAGAAAGGAAAAACAAATCGTTAAATAAAAGATAGAGAATCAGTTTGATGTAATTGCCAAAGAATTTGTGGAAGTCAGCAGGGTCAGAAAAAGGATCTTTCTCTCTCTCTCTAATAGTAACTGTGATCATAAAATAAGATCTTGCTTATATAGTCGAGGGTGGTACAAAAGATATACGTGGGGTGAATTCAAAGAGAGTCTAGGAGTCGTGAGTCAAAGTAAATTCAGTCCAATGAAACCATTGTTAGTGGTTCACATTTAAACTTCTCTTTATTGTCCCCCTTTTTTCGAAAAATTTCCCTTACACAATTTTTCAAAACATATGCTCCTGCAACTGCATATTTCCTTTTAATTCCATGAAAAATTCTATAATCGGATTTGACAAAAATGATATCTAATCCCTTGATTTATCGAATATTTCCTAAAACAAATATCAATAATAATTAAATACAATTATAATAAAAATATTAGATAATAAACTATTTTTTTCAATTTCGTTATTTAAGAGTAATTTTTTGATTTAATAAAACGGTAATTGATAATTTACAGACAAGACAGTTGGATAATTTAATGACTAGAAGCACGCAAATTTCAACGATAGTTGAATTTAAAGCATCTTAAATTAATCTAATTACCCAGGATAATTATTAAAATTAATAAAAACAAAAATTTCTTAATTAAAAACAAATTTTCCAATTTTCATCCCTCTGGCCTTTAAAATTCAATTATATTTAATTTCACTTCATCTGGATAATTCAATTAAAAAGCAATTTCGAGTGTGTTAATTTAGAAAATGAAGAAATAAAATTCTAATTTTTTAATTAAAAATTGCCAAAAATCTAACAATGCGGAAAAAAACATTTTGTAAATATATTCTAAACTAAAGCGGAGGTAATCTTGATTTTATATATATATGAATTTTCTATGAATCATCATTTGACCCTGAAATAGAAAACGACCTACAACCGGTCTGGTAACCTATAACCTCGAGACTGAAAGGCTTAAAAAAAAATGAGAACCTAAACGAATTAGCGTGTTGTGTGCTGATTTTCGCCAGAAAACATTGGCAGACGGAGGGGAAAAAAAATGCCACTTTGGTATTATAGAGGATTAGACACGTAACTGACTTCGGTCTTAATTGGCCTAGAATGTTATACTCGAGACACCTCACTCGCGTTGGTCGATGATAAATAATTATAAATTTTACAGTCTTACATCTCAATTAGACTTTTTAATCAATTTACGACGTTAGTCGCGTCTCTTTGGTCAAAAGGGCAGAATCGTAAAAAAAAAATGTATAACTTTCGTGGGAGTGCGCAACAAGGTAGAAATTATAAATATACAGGCGTCGGATCGACTTAAGGGCACAAAAAAAGTCGTTTTAGTCGATTTATATTTCAAAAAAAGTCGTTTTTTTTATTTTAACAAAAATATTTTACAGATTTTTATATAAAATTATTTTTTAAATAATAATAATTTTGGAATGTTTAAAGAGTTATAATTGAAATTAGTAATTTTAAAAAATTTTCGATGGAAAATTTTTAGAAGCTTTTAAATTTAAATTTTTGAAAATAATTGAATTTCCATTGAAATTTTAGACAATAATTCAATTTTAGTTGATTTTTAATTGAATATTTTCATAATAATTAATTTTGAATTGAAATTTTTGAGAATAATTGAATTTTAGTTGATTTTGAATTGAAAATTTGGAAAATAATTGAATTTTATTTCATTTTAAATTAAAAATTTGGAAAATAATTAAATTTTAAAAGAATTTGAATTGAAAATTTTAAAAATAATTGATTTTTCTTTGATTTTGAATTGAAATTTTGGATAATAATTTAATTTTAGTTGATTTTTGATTGAAAATTTTGATAATAATTAATTTTGAATTGAAATTTAGGATAATAATTCAATTTTAGTTGATTTTGAATTGAAAATTTTCATAATAATTAATTTTGAATTGAAATTTTTGAGAATAATTGAATTTTAGTTGATTTTGAATTCAAAATTTGGAAAATAATTTAATTTTACTTTATTTTGAATTGAAAATTTGGAAAATAATTAAATTTTAAAAGATTTTGAATTGAAAAGTTTAAAAATAATTGAATTTTCTTTGATTTTGAATTGAAATTTTGGATAATAATTTAATTTTAGTTGATTTTTGATTGAAAATTTTGATAATAATTAATTTTGAATTGAAATTTAGGATAATAATTCAATTTTAGTTGATTTTGAATTGAAAATTTGGAAAATAATTGAATTTTAGTTGAAATTGAATTGAAAATTTTGAAAAAAATTGAGGTTTAGTTGATTTTGAATTGAAATTTTTTTAAAATAATTGAATTAAAAATTGGTGGTATAATTTTATTTGAAATTATTGAATTTGTGATGACTTTCATTAAAATTATTAAAAATAATTAATTTAGTGAAGAGTTTTAGTTAAAAATTTGTTAAATAATTGAAATAAGAAGAAAATCTGCATTTTATACTAAAAAAAACGTATTTTATTTAAAAAAAATTATTTTAAATGTAAAAAAAAGTCGAAAAAGTCGTATAATCCGAGGCCTGAAAATATATTAAATTTTCAATGTAGAAAAATGATTTAATAATTATAAATTATAAAATGCAAACCAATTTTCTAAGAAATTTAAATAAACTACTACAAAGAAAATCAATTCAGAAAGTTTCCTTTTTAAAATTTTAATTTTCTTTTCTTTTTTTTTTTATAAAAAGCAAACTTGCAAACTTTTTTTGACGATAAATATATACACACATACACACTTTCTTATCGATTTGACACGCGGTTAAAATAAACAAAAATGGAGGAAAAAAATTATTTACGATTTTTAAAATATAAAAATAAATTTGTGTTAATGAAAATTCGCGAATATTTTTGTTACCTTATCGCTTGCGTAATATGTATAAGTTTTTCGAGAGGGGAAACTATCGAGTTACTTTTACAAGTAGCATGCATCTGCTTTATTATATACATATATATACAAATTTACTTCTCATGTGCATATTTGTGACGCCACAATTTTCAAGGTGAACCGACCACTTTTTTACACGTGATAGTTCCTCTGGAAATACCCTTCAAATATTAATATCTATTAATAGTTTGTTGGAAGAGTGAAGAAAGTGTTGGCGATAAAAGTATATATAATATAATAAAAATTTGTTATCACGAAAAATTCAACTCTTCTCAAGTTATTTTATAATATTGCAAAAAAAAGAGTAGATAAAAATTTCAAAATAAATAAAAATAAAAATTTTCCTTAACACGAGAATAAACCACAAAAAAAAATGGTTTCTTAATCAAGATTTTTAGTTTTGAAATTCAAGACATTTTTCATCAGAGTAAAGCTAAAACGGTTTCTTTCTTTTTTTTTTTTATTTATCGCACCCTAAAAATTCTCTTGCGATGAAAATGCTCGTAAAAGTCTCTCGGAAGAAAAGGTTTTCAAATACAATGTCTGAAAGACCAATTGGTTTGCGTATATATATATATATTGCGTTTAAAAGCATTAAAAATCTAAAAAGGAAACTCTCGAATTTGTTTTTATATAAATGACTGTATTTTTAGTCGTCGAATATTTTTGTATTTTCAAACGTTTTAAATTTTAATTTGTTTTCAAAAATAATATTATTTAAGTTTCATAAGATCGCGAGGGAAATATTTAACTTCTCTCACAAGAACTATTTTTATCTAGTTTTTGGAAATTTAAATTATTAAATAATTTAAATTATTTAAATGTTAATTTGAATTTTCTTTAAAAGAAAATAAAATTTATCTTCTATTTAAAAAAAAAATTCCAAAAGGAATGTTTAAAAGATATTTGCCATATTTTATCAATTTTTCAAGTCTAACAAAAGCACGAGCCACCTGTTAATAAAGAAATAATAAAAAAATTACAAGGTTAAATTAAAAAAACAGTAAAATTAAAGTACAAAAACCAAATTTTTAATTAAAATTAAGATAAAAAAAAATGTTAGAAATCTAATTGAAAAGATTATAAATTACTTCATTAAAATAAAATACACCGGAGTATATTTTAAAATTTACATTTTAAATTACCTCTTGTTTTTCAAAAGGGCAATGAAGAATGTCATAAAAACTGGTTTTTAAATAAAAATTCTAAATGCCCAATTTTTATTATTAGTTCCGGTCAACGTTCTATACACGAAGCTTTACAAGCATGCAAAAATTACTAACATTTCACAGATAATTTGGAATAAATTTTCTTTTTCAATTTTAAACTGTAAATTTAAAAACAAATTAAATTCTCAATGATTGAAAAATAATCAAAGAAAATTCTAAAATTTCGAGATCGTAAATTTTAATTTGTTTTATCTAAAACATATTCTATTATTTTCAAATAATTTTAAAAATTGCAAAATGCATTTTCCTAATTTCTCATAGTTTCATTTTAAAAAAAAATAAATAAAAGAAACGTCAAGAATGAAAAATTACTGAAGGAACGTGAATAGTCCTTTTCTTGACCTACATCGATCCATCCTGTGACCTAAATTTTCCCCAAAAACCCGGATACTAGGATCAAAAGTTCAATCCACGACGCAGTGGCAAAATATTTTAACCTCTTTTTCATTTTAAAATACCTAAAAATTAAAGGACATTTCTTTTTGTTCCTTCAATTATTTTTATATCGAAAAAAAAAGTATTTCCAGGAAATAATTCGTGCTACCAGGTCTGTCAACTTCCTTGAATTCCAGAAGTGGTAGAAAAAAAATAAAAAAAAAAAAATTGATAGCTAACCTGAAGTTGTCAAAGGGTTGTCACGTCCACGTTGAACAGCTGATCGGAATCGTGGTTTCAAGTCCTGAAGCTAACCTCTCTCAAAACCATTGAATTCCAGTGTTCCACAATAAAAAAAAAAAGAAGCAAAATTCTCCAATTTCAAGGATGGACTCTTCCCACCGTAATTGATATCCTTTATTCGTGTTGATCTTTTTCGTGCTCTCGACCCACTGAACCGCGTTGTTGCCAGGCGAAGAGGATGTCGTAACCCAATTTTATTCCAGGAAAATTTGCAATGTCCTTCGTCATCATTTTTCCTATAAATCACATACACAGTAAAAAAAAAAAAACAAAAACAAAAATAACTAAAATAGTAGCACAAAACTTCTCACCGAGACTTTGAAACGCGATTGGTTGGAATATACGCACACAACCAACCCCCCGGGGTGTAAGGACTGCGGCGTTTTTTTGTATATAGTATATATATATATATTCAAAAGACACACAAGTGTATCAGACCCGGTGTCCTTTGTCACTTGTCGGCATTCTTTGTCCCATGTGACAAAAGAAATATAAATGTCATATTCACCCCTAAAACTTGTTTGTGTCTTGTCTGCCAGTCACAATTTTCTATTTATCTATGTAGTTGATTGGGGGCGTATGAAAAAAAAAAAAACACACACACAGGACTCCCTGGAATCAGTAAAGACAAGAACGTACCTGTTAGCAACGATTCTGAAACGATACTGCGGGCTCCAATATCCATTTGCCGCGCGCAGACGCGGATTGTTTCTTGACTTTCGGAGAGCGTCCCGGGCGCCGGACGAAGCTCATCTACAGAGACGATATAATAAAAAGCGCTACATTCGAAAAATTATTAATTTACCACCCCTTTCAAAAAAAATTAAATAATATCAATTTATTCCCCAATATATTTTCTTCAGAGGAAAAAAGAAACCGGCACATTGTCGGCGTGGACTCTAAAATAATTTAAAAAAAAAAAATTCCAATTATAACATTTAATCACGTTATCAAATCAATATTTTTTTCTATTTAAACAATTTTCCCCCTTTTTTATAAAGTAGGATTTTTTCTCTAAAATTGAAGAATTTTTTTTAGGTTAACTTGAATGATCACGTGACTAATACAATTTTTCTTCACAGTTTACATTCGCGAATATATTAATTTTTCGAATTATTATAATCAAATTATGAACAAAAAAGACTTACCATATGATTGACTATGAAAATCAAATCCATTTTTCTCGAATAATTAACTTAAAATATGTAAAAACTGATTAAAATATTGTCTACAATGCAGGAACACATTTACAACTGTAAGTGACTAATCTGAAGTTACTAAACACTATCGATATTCTATATCGCGAAAGTCAATAATCAAATTATAAACTTTATCAATAAATATTTATTATAATTCAATATATTTAATAAAAAAAATAATAAAGAATTCTCAATAAAATTAATAATATAATTCAAAAATCTAAAATATTATTTAGAAATATTATTGAAAATAATTATTTATTTGAAAATAATTCCTGTGAATAGTTTCAAATTTGAATTGTTGCTAACTTCAAATCAGACGCCCAGTTGGACAGTTGCAATAAATTTTTTGCATTGTTAACCGTTAATGCGGCAAATGAAGATTTGTTTTATTACATTTTTAAATGATTATTGCAGTAATTTTGTATGAAATAATGAGAAAATAATATTCGATGATAGTATTGAAGCCACCTGAGTAAGTGAATAAATTAATTATGCATAAATATTCCGCTTTTTTGATGTGAAAAAAAAATTTCAAGGTCACGTATTTTCGATTTTTTTCACATCTTTTATCATTAAAATTCATGTATATTTTAATCGAGGGACAATTAAGATATTCTTAATGTGATTAGAAAACTCATTTAAAATCTTTAAATTACAAATATTGTTAATTATGAAAATACCGGATATTTGGGGGGGTGGGGGGAAATTGCATATACCTAACCTAAAAAATAAAAATAGATAATTTTCATAAATGTGAATATAATAAAATTAATAATTTAATTAAAATTTAATTAATCATAAGAAAAAAAATTTTTTTATGAAAATTAGATGAAACTAAATTAACTAATTTCAAATGTAATCCAAAGATTCTTATCTATTTCATGTTTTTATTTAGAATGTTTATTTGCTCTGACTTTGAACTTTATTCGTGTGCGTTCGTTTTGTTTCAAAGTTTTTTTTTTTTATCGATTTTCCACAATAAGGAAAAACGAATGCAATCGCATTTTAAGGCGTAGTTTAGTATATTCAAAGACTTTTTTATTGAAAATATAATGAAATTAAACTTTTTTTTTATTGCGTTTTTCGTTCATTGAAAAAAACAAACATTTCAAAGATAAAATATACACATTTCAAAAAAATGACATTTTGAATAAACATTTTTCTTTCAAAAAGAAATTAGAATTTTTGCGTGTATAAATGTAAATTAGGAAATTATTAATAAGTGACCCAAATTTTGATTGAGGTATAACGGAAAAGTTCGTGGGTGCCGAATTATCGTGGCTTTGCTCTAAATATTACGAGTGCATCTTGCAACTAGCTAATGTATTCTAAAATAGATTTTGCTGACATTTAGTACAAGATTATTCAATTATTTAGAATTGGATTTAAAGAAAATTAAATACAAAAATTTCTCTCAATTTTCCTTCCGTTTTAAATAAAAAAATTAATTTGTCCCGTTAAAATGAAATTATCGGTGAAAAAAAATAAATTGCCTTTTTTCATTTATGTATCTTAAATTAATTTCTTTTTTTTTTTGCTAATCGTTATAAAATAGTTATTTTTACTTTTTATTTGAGAAAAATTTCCACATAATTTACTCTCTCCAAGATAATCAGTCAGACAAGATTAAGAAATAGACGTATCTTAAATGCTGACAGCAAACAACAAACTAAAACCTCAACGTAGATAAATCTGCACTTTACAACTCTCATTAAATCAACTTTAAATGTACATTAAGCAAAAAGGAAATCAGCTTCTTTTAAAACTATTTTTATGAATATGAATAAATACTTTTTCTGAGAAAAAAAAAACATTTTCAAATGGCAAAACTAGTTTTCATAAATATTATAGATTCAAAATAGAAAATTAAATATAAGATTATAAAACGATGTGAAGTTTTTTTGACTTTTGCTATGTATTAGTTGTTACCGGTAGTGCTAGGACGTAGAAGCGTGAAATTGACAATAAAGATAAGGCAAGAGTATACCGATAGCTACGCCAATAAAACCTTGTGAAACTTTTTAATTGCACGCTCGACTTCCTATCGTGAATTCAAGTTGTTTTTATCGTATTTATAGACGATATTTCTGAATTAAATTTTCTCTAGGTCAATATTTTTCTTTCTATAATAAAAAATTTAATTTTCAATTAAAAAATGAACCTTTTTGAATTACAAATAAATTTAAAAATTCCAAAAGTTCTGAACGTTCAAATGAACAAAATATTTTTTTCAATCTATAAATTATTAAAAATTATAATATTAATGTAAAATAAAACACCAAATTAAAGAAATATTAAATTAATAACTTCTTTTTAGATATTTAAAACAATATTTTGTAATAAAATTCAAGAAGTTACAAAAAAAAAAATTTTTATTTGAACGTTCAAAACTTATAAAGTATAACTTTTTTTTGTCGATTCAATTTCCCATTCGATGAAAAAAAACCCCCTCAAGGAAAAAAGGATATAAAAATTAAAAAAATGAACTCGCAATTATTGTTATAATGTAAATATTAAAATACAAACATGGTAAACATGAATCTAAATATCTTTATAATAATAATTGTAAAATACTTTACAAGCGTTCGCTTTTTATACACGACGCTGTCGATAAATAATAGCGGAACGTGTTTCTTGAAATAACTTAAATGTGTACAAAGTTTCTTAAAACTACCTTTTCTATTATGTGGAAACAAATTCCTTATTAAACAATTTTTTTTTATCTTTTAACGAGAAAATTGTTTCCACCCCCTCCTTGAAAATAAAAATGAAAAAAGGAATGATAAAAAGGGGGGACGGATAGAGAGAATGAAAAATAAAGGAACTGCAATAGGCAGCGATTTAAAATTAAATTTGATAAATTAAAGAAACCGTATAGATATTTTGCGGAGTTAGCAATCACTCAGTGATTACTTGAAATGCTTAATCTGATTTAAAAAAAAAAAAAAAGAAAAAAGGTCTCGAGGAAAATTATTTTCAAATCGATCCTTGATATATATAAAAAAAATGAAGCCTGTATCACCTACAATTCTCTTCAGGTTGAGATATTTTCACATTTTCTCACTGTTCATCCTTGTCTTTTGCTCCGTGTTTGAGAATTCGTGTGAATTCAATATAATCGAACATTGATCCTTTTATTGGCGCCTCACGATACATTTCATCCACCTCATCGTCCGTAAATCTAAAAATATTCCAAAAAAATTGAAATTTCGGAAAAAAAGGTGAAAATTTAATTTGAATTTAATTAAATCAAAAAATTACCGATCTCCCATTGTTGTTAGAAGTTCACGAAGACGTTCCTCATTTATGTGACCATTATTTTCTTCGTCAAAGCAGCCAAATGCGTTTTTAATTACATCCTCGGGATCAGTTCCCTGAAGTCTTTCTCCAAAGAGAGTCAAGAACATAGTGAAATTTATCGAACCTTGTCCTTCATTAATCATTTGTTCCAAATATTCGTCAGTTGGATTTTTACCTTAAATAAATAATTTCGAATTAATTTATTGTTCGTAATAAAAAAAAAAAAAAACAAAAATTCAAAATATCTCACCTAATGAGGCCAACATATCGTGAAGATCTTCTTTGTCAATGAAACCATCATGATTTTGATCAATCATATTGAAAGCTTCTTTAAATTCAGCAATTTGTGCTTGATCAAACATTGCAAAAACATTTGATGTCGCTCTTTGTGCACGCTTTTTGGTGGTGGCACGACGACCCGCTGTTTTACGTGCCGACATTTTTTTTTCTGAAAGAAAAATTTTATAATTTTTAATTACAAATCAAATTTTTTTTGTTTTTAAATTGATAAATAAGGGAAAAATAATATTGAAGGAAACTTGCTATATTAATAGGCGATAGGGTGCCAAGAGAATTTATTAGAGCTTGTGTTTATTTTAGGATAATTAAGCCAGAAAATTTTGACGTTGAAGGAAACGAGGTAATTTTTTTTTTTTAGAGAGGTCATTAACTTCTTTCTTAATTAAAAACAAAAAAAAAATTAAAAACTAATTTTACAGTAATTATCGAAATTAATTTTTCTATACTTGATTTATTTACAAAATTGATCAAGAGGCAAAATGCAAAGATCAGCGAAATGAGATCACTAACCATGACACATCATTAAACAGTTTATCATTATAAAAATCGAATACTTTAAAACAAAGAAAGTAAATTTCCTGGAAATTTTACGACAAATATCAATAAAAAATTTTTGTTTACTTTTTAAATGTAATTTTAATTACCCAAAAACCTAACCTCACAATTTTTTTTTCACAAATAAATTTTTTACTCCGCAAAATGAAACAAAAGTACATTGGAAATAAATGAAATGGAGAATGGAATAAAAGCAAATTGTAAAATTACAGACGATTGGAAATTGTCTTGAAGAATGTATAAATGGCCGTCGTGAATGTAAAAAAAAAAAATCTGTTGTCAAACTGACAATTATCTTTCATCTATTATCAACGTCTATTACGAAATTCACATAATTAGATGATGGATATGTTAAGGTAATGAAAAACAACACTCACCACTTAATAGGTTTACAATAAAAGGGTAGAAAATTAGGTAAATTAAACTTTTTTTCGTGAGTGAATCACACTAACAAATGCTGACAGGATGCAGACTGGAAATTTTTCAGCCATTCACCACACCCGGATAAGTGTCTCACTCTGGCGGTTGAATTTAAATTTCCAGTTTGCCTTCTCCTCTTCTCTTTGAATTTCAAAAGTTTTGACCGTATTTAGTTTTAAAGATATATGAGTCATTTATTTTGTCGTAATAAGGTCATGGTAAAAGTGAAAATTAAATTTATAAAGCGAAAAAATAAAAATGCCATAAAAGTTTAAAAAAATAAATGTTTTTATTTTTCAATAATGGAAAATATGGAGCAGAATTTTAATTTTCTTGATTTTTTTTATTATTTATTTGTTTTTTAAAACTTCAAATATTTATTTATTTTTGTGTTATTGAAAAAATTTTGCAAATTTATGTAAGGTAATTTAAAAAAAATATGATGCAGGTTATTACTCGATCTTTTAGTATGATTGTATAAATGCAATTCCATATATAGAAAATGTTTGACCATGAGAGAATTCGTATCCTTATATAGATTTATCTCGAGATCATTTAACTTTATTATATCCCTTAGATATATTTTTAATTTTCATAAATATAAAAAAAAATTGTGGTATTTAGTACTTCTACGGTAACCGAACTTTTTTAGTTCAGTACCCAAGTAGTTTCGAAAACCGAGCTTTTCCAAATTTACAGAAACTCATTAACGCCTCTCTCTCACTTTTCGTCTTCTATATTTTCCAATATTTCACTTTCTGTCTGGCTTTAACACTTTAATTACGTTCGTCTCAAATTCTCATTAGTCTGATTCTAATTTCTATACTGTCGTTTTCTCATCTTTTTCACTTTCACATTTCTTCTTTCTTCTTTCTTCTTTCTTTTTCAACATATATCTTCATCATTTCGTCTGCATTATCAATATATTACTCTCATTTCAATACTATATTTTCATCATATCTCATTATTTCGTCTTAACTCTGATTTATATTTATTCTGACGCGATTAAAGGGTAAACCTTACGAAAGGGTCCGTAAGGTACCTTTTTTACCGTTTCAGAACAAATTTTTACCACTCTTCGTAATGCATATTTAAATCTTTCACCTTTAATTACATGATGGTCTAACTCGTTTTTTATATTAGAGAGAGACGATCAAGTTTTGTTTCTGTAAACTTTTCAAACTCAAAGAATTCGTAAACTTTCCCGAGAAGTGCCGTACCACCTCGAGAATCTTTTCTTTTTTTTCATTCTTATATACTAACTGATGGAATTTTATTACACTTGTGAGAATGAATTTAAAATGCGACCCTAGTGAGTGAATTTGGAAATACTTTCAAATTAAATACCATATCTACGGGAGGTAAAACCCAGGGCATAATTTAAAAATATTTTTTTTTTATCTTTTACTTTCAAATATTGTATAAATTTATAAATAATAAAATAATTAACTGTTTAAAACTATTATATAGAAAAATAGTATAAATAGTAAATGTTCGATTAAGATAATAAAACAATAAAAGGATAAACGTGTGCACAATAGAATTGATACGCCCCTGAATGGCAAACAGAAAAATTAGCGGGATTTTTAAAAATTCCTTTTTAAATTCTAATTTCGTTATTTTCAAATAAAAATTAAAAACGTTTTTTTCCCCTCTTTGGAAAAGTAAAAACAAAATTAATAAATTTCCTTTTTCAAAGGGGGAAAAAGAAATAAATTTCGTATTTTATATATTCACAGGACTTTTTTTTGATAAAAAGTCTTGCACGTTTAATTTACGAATTTTACAATACATTCTCTTTTATTTTATAAATCCTTAAATAATAATAATAATAAAAATAATAATAACAACTAAGTAAATAAAATATATATATACAAAATCATACATACAATTGGCCCATTTTTCAATTCATTATCGACAGAAAGTATTATTTTCTTTGTATAAACTATTTACAGCTCCTACTTTAATTTTTTTTTTGAAGTGAAAAATAAAAAATTAATTATAAAACAACTTTTCACGGTCGCTAAAAATTAATTATTTCTCCAGACTGTGATATTTTAAATATAGTTTAAATATATAAATAATAATTCCTCGTTTGATTATACTATTTTTTATCTTCATTGATATAATAATGAATTTTTTTTTGTATTTATCAAACGAGAGTAAAAAACGATCACGACTTTGGATTCAGAATTTACAACCATGATTTAAAATTTCTCGTACTAAAAGTATGATAAAATTTTTTTTTTAAAGGTTGTAGATTTTATTTAATGGCAACTATCGAACGGAAACTCCATTGATTGTGATACCATTTCTATGGTGAACTGGTTCAGCCTCATAATGTCCAGAACGATTGTAAACTCTTCGTCCATGTCCTCCGTATCTAAAAATATTTATTTTTAATTAATTTTATAAAATTTTTTTTAAAAAATATTTTGAAACATACCCGTAAGCACTACCGCTGATACTGTAGGGATTATCATAAAGACCATCTTCAGGAACATTTTCATACATTGTACCTGGAATTCCATCATTTAATGTAGCGTAGGACATAACTGCTGCATTTTGATCCTCTTTTCTCTCAGCAGCTTGTACGTTTTCGGTATTTTTTACTGGACTGGCTTTTCGTCTAAAAAAAAATTTGTTTTTTTTATTTATTTCTGATTTTTATTATTATTAAGATTTAAATTCTTTCCTTTCAAGATAAATTGTCCTTTAAGATTATAACGAAAATGAATTAAAAATAAAATTTTTTTCACTTACAGACGCAAATAAGCGAGGCCAATGATTACCAAAATGAAAATTATAACTCCAGCACCAATTCCAACACTGGTACCAACTCCTTGGACTTCTGCCACTTCGTTCAAAGACACTGTAAGTTACATTTTTTTTTTTAATTTTTACTTTTCAAATTTAAGGATTTTTTTTTCTTTTTTTTTACTCACACATGCATTTTGGTTCATCGCCACTCCAAATTCCAGTATCTAAACATTTTCTAAGGAAAGGACCAACCCTTTCGAAATGTGGTAGACAATGATATTCGGCTGCACCTCCATAACTTGTACTTCCGTTTACGACAATTACTCTTCCATTTTCGACAATTCCTGGATCCTTACAATCAACAGCTGCAAATACGTTTTTTTTTTTAAATTATTCTTATTATTATTAATTGATATTATTAATTATTATTAATTGATATAATAATTATTATATTCAATTATAATTTTGATGAAAAATTGATAATTACGATAACAAGCTGGTGATGTTCCACTCCACGATCCATTTTGTAAACATATTCTCGTTTCATTTCCTTCCATATAATAGCCACGGGGACAATTATAATGTGCGACTCCACCAACGCTGTGAGTTGAAATTTGCGTTGCTATCATTCCCATTTTATCTGGATCTTTGCATCTAATTTCTAAAAGAAAAAAACAGATTTTTTTCTTTTAATAAAAATTTCAATTTTTGAATTGAAAAAATGTTCCTTTTTTTAATAAAGGATTCATGTTTATTAAATTTTTTTAAAAATTAAAATTAATTTTTCAATAAAGGATATAAAATACCTTTGCAAATTGGTGTGTCACTACTCCAGGTTGCATTTTCAAGACAAAGTCTTCGAGCAAAGCCATCGAGTTCGTAGTTTCCATCACATTCATAAAGTGCAGCTGCACCATAATATGTTGCATTTGATGTTAAAGTATAATGTCCATGTTGAATTTGTTCTGGTTTTCCGCAGTCAACATCTGTGAAAAGCGGAAAAAAATATATTTTTTTTTTTTACTATTTTGTTTCAATTTTCAGGTAATTGATTATTTTTCAATTTAATTTTAATTAATTTAACTTTAAATTAATTCAATTTTAATTAATTTAACTTTAACTTTAATTTAATTTAAATTTTCTTTAAATTTTTTTTAAATTTTCTTTAAATTTTCTTTAAATTTTATTTAAATTTTATTTAAATTTAATTAATTTTATCAATATTCTAATACAAATACTGAAATGAAGCTGAAGCTGGCACCTAATTATTAGCATCCATTTAATTATTGAAATTTTCAAGTTGGTATTGAAACAAAAGAATACCATTTGTAAAAAATCTTAAACATCAAAAGAAAAGTATATAATTCAAAGGTTATTCATTAGAAAACAAATGAATACGACGAAGAAATATCAAAAATAAATTTAAATATTTTTTAAAATAAATAATGAAAATAATAACGACAACATTAAAATTTACAATTACAAATGATTCTATTATTATTTATTAATGAATGCATTTAAAAAGGGGGAGAATATTATTATTTTTTTTTTTGAAGCAAATAGAACAGTTCCCAAATTTTTTTTCAGTCTTTTGAGGACTAAAGGAAGTTAAAAAAAAATTTTGACCGCGAAACTTGGATTCCAAACGAAATAACAAAGATTTTTCTTTAATAATTCGGAAAAAAAAATTCCTATTTTTCCCTTGAATAAAATTTAACACTTGCAATAATTTTTTTCAGTCTTTTTGAGACCCAAAGAAGTTGAAAAAAATATTGCAAATGTTAAATTTTATTTAAGGGAGAAATTGGAATTTTTTTTCCGAATCTTCAACGAAAAATATTTGTAATTAATAATTTTTCGTAGAATTTGAATGGAAAATCTTTTCAAAATTAAATTAATTTTCTTTAACTTCTACTTGCTTTTAAAAAAATAATAATATTCTCCCCCTTTTTAAATGCATTCATTAATAAATAATAATAGAATCACTGGTAATTGTAAATTTTAATGTTGACGTTATTATTTTCATTATTTATTTAAAAAAATATTTAAATTTATTTTTGATATTTTTTCGTCGTATTCATTTGTTTTCTTATGAATAAACCTTTGAATTATATACTTTCCTTTTGATGTTTGAGATTTTGGAAAAATGGTATTCTTTTGTTTCAATACCAACTTGAAAATTTCAATAATTAAATGGATGCTAATAACTAGGTGCCAGTTTCAGCTTTATAATATTGAATAGGAAAATAATTAATTAATTTAATTTTCTTTTTTAATTGCAAAAAAAAGTAATTGAAATTTAATTTTTCAGCCAAACTTACAAACACATTGTGGTACTTCGCCACTCCATTTTCCTGTATCTTCACATGTGGACAATGGTTCTCCAACAACTTTATAGCCTCTCTCGCATCTATATTTGGCAAGTGCACCAATTTTATAGGACGTTGCACCTGTATTGGAATTTTCGGCTGTTCCAGTTCTAATCAATGTTCTTCCATACATTCTATCGTTTCCAGTCACCGAGAGAATTCCATGAATCGCTAATACTGGTTCTGAACAGCGAATTTCTGACAAAATCAAAAACAAAACGTATAAATTTATTATTATTATTTAATAATCTTCAACTAATTTTCCAAGAATTTGATTTTTTTTCCTAAAGAAAGGTGATTCAAAAAAAAAAATGTTTTTTAAAAAATATTTTTTTAGGGGAAAATAAAATTTTTATGGCAACGGTATATTTAATGGAGGTGTATATAATAGTTTCAAAATCTCTCGTTGTTTTTTACCTTCGCATTTCGGTGTAGCATCACTCCATTGACCATTGTCTAGACAATATCTTTTTTCAACTCCATTAAGTCTATAATTTCTTGTGCAAGAATATGAAATTTCACTTCCCAAATGTGATGTCCCATTTATATAATCGACCGCTCCATTTAAAACTGGAAGGACCTTTCCACAGTCGATATCTAAAAAAATATAAATTATCAATTAAATTTCTAATTGAATTTATTTCTTCATTGAATAGAAAAAGAATTACAATTTTTTTTTCTCTAGAGAATATTCTATTCTTTGCAAATTCAGAGAATTTTTATTTCTAAAAAAAAAACTCACATTCGCAAGATGGAACATCACCGGTCCATTCTCCATTTTTGCCACAAGTGTGTTTTGCTTCACCATGTAGCAAATATCCAGCTTCACAATGATATGTAATTGAGCTATGTACATTAAAATCATATCCAACGACGTAACTTCCAGCTGGAACTTCCGGTTCCTCGCAAATTATTACTTTAAAATAAAAATAAATAATTAGAATCGAAAAAATTGATCTTTCACTATTTTTAAATTTTGAAAAATTTAATTTACAAATTTAGAAAATATTTAAATATTTTTTTCAACTCCAAAAAACATTTAAAGTAATAATTTTTTTAAAAATAATTATTAATTATTTATATTAAATTATTTATTGGATAATAATTAATTTTTTTAAAATTTTGAAATGAAGAAAATTTAACTAACACTCGCAAGAAGGAGTATCGCGACTCCATTTTCCTTCTCTTGTGCATTCCTGTTTTGCATCGCCAACAAGCCAATAATCATCTTGACAATTATACATAATTAAACTGCCAACAGTTGTTGTTTTATTTAATTGGGTCACAGTTCCAAATTCAATTTGGGCCGGGGCTCCACAATCAACAAATCGGCACTGTGGACTTTTACCCGACCATTGGCCCCCGATATCGCACGTCAGGACCTTCAACATATATATAAGATTTTAAAATGAAGTTCCTTTCACCTGTTTTGTATCGCGAGTTATTATTATCATTATTATTATTATATATAGTCGCAGTTATAACAAAAACCTTTAATATCGATTGCGTAAACTTGACATTTGTATATATACATGCAATTTTAAATCGTTATTAAACTCTTATTTTTATGACCAAAAATAAAAGTTTAGAAAATACAAAAATGCGGGAAAAAAAAATGAAATTAGTTTGTAATTAATTGGTAAATAAAAAAAATAATAATTATAGATGAATTAAATATTTGTTTTGAAATAGAGAAAGACGAACAATTGTAAAAATTGTAAGTCACGTTCTTAAAGTATTATTAATAATATTGTCAAGGATTTTGTCTTACATAAAAAGAAAATATTTGTTTCCTATTTACAAGGAAAATTATATAAAAGAGAAAATTGATATTTTTTATCAGAATTTTATTTCAAAAATCTTATTAAATTTTTTCCTTTTTAATATTTTTTTTCTTATAAATAAGGAAATTTATATTTCGAAAAAAAACTCACATTATCTCCAAAAAGGATAAAGCCATTTTGACAAGAATAGGTTGCAATTGATCCAACGCGTCTTCCGGTTATTTCGAAGACACCTCCATTTATTTCCGGTGGTTCTGGACACCAGTTAACTGAAATAATTTTTTTTTATTTTACCACAGCTTATGGGAAATAAAGGAAATTAATAAAAAAAAAAAAATAAAAATTTACATAAACATTGAGGTTGATGGCCACTCCAAATTCCTCCGTCTCCACATCTTCGTGTTGAATCTCCTACGAGAGTGTAATTTTCTTTACATGAATAATCAGCCAGAGCTCCGTGAGTTGTTCTATCGTCAAGGAGTTTTACGATTCCATTTTCAAAATCTGGTAATTGTCCGCAATCAACAACTGGAAAAGGAATTTTACAATTTATTTTCCTCTAAATATGATAATTTCAAAAATAGAAAAATAATACCAGGAAATTTTCACAAGAATTTCTTAAAGTCGTTTTAAAAATAAAATTTGTAGATTTTATAACTGCGGTTATAAAAAACTATTTAAATATATTAATTAAATAAAATTTTGATTTTATTTTATTAATTATTAAAAAATTAAATAAGCGAAAAGAAATTTCAATATTTTAATAATTAACATTTTCTTACATTTACAGGTGGGCGGATTCGCACTCCAAAATCCCGTGGATTCGCAAATTCTATTTTTCGATCCTAAAAGCATATAACCATCGGGACATGTGTATTCAATAATTGCTCCAATCGTTCTTTTGGAACCGACAATACTTGTATTTTCCGATCTCTCAGGACTGCCGCATATCGATGGCTCTGAAAAATAAATGGTAAATATAATTTTTATTTTTATCTAAAAAAAAAAGTAATTTTCAAAATAGAAATTAATTATTAATTCGATACAAAAAAAAGAAAACTTACTGCTTTGACAAATCCAATGAAGATAATCCAAATTACAACCCACGTCATTCCAAAGCCATCCTCTTCCTCCGTCTAAAACGACACAATTTTGCTCTCCATTGTAGTTATTAGGTTGATCTTTACCCCACGATGGTTTCTGAATAACTTCACCTAGAAAAAAAAAAAAAATTATTCTCCAGATATTTATAAAACAATTCTCATGAAAAATTATATTTGTATTATTCAGTTTGCCTCCATGAAGAAAGAATTCTCTGAAGCTGTAAAATTGAAGAAAAAAAAAACAACAGAAGAATTTACGGAAAATATTTTCATTCTCCCTCTTTTATCATCATTATTATTATTAGAATGAAATTTAATTTGCATAAATACGTGCACCTTATTTTCTGCCTCGTCAAATCACAAAATTTACAAGAGTTTTAATTTCAATAATAATTAGCATTAGTTACGTTAAATCGAACTCTCTTGAGACGTAACTTCCCGTCACTTTCGACATGCTTCTTACTTTCACGTTCCATTCGTTTACAATACAATAGATTTTGCTTCCCCTTCCCCCCCCCCCCCCCCCAAAAAAAAAATAATTCATAGTTACATCACTTTAATCGCCGATAAGGAAGAGGATTTTAAAATGTTTGTCCAGTTGACAATTTGCAAAAGAAATTCAGTTTCACCTCTCGAGACCAATTTCTCTGTCAATTATATTCGTTCAATTTGAAATGTTACGTCTTTTAAAATTGAAAAACGTCACCAAAATAAATTATTTATCAATTGGAAATTTCGATGAATATTTTTAAATTTTTTTGCGAGAAGAAAAATTACAATTTATAGCAAATTTTTGAAAATTATACGAAAAAATATTTTCTGTTTTTTTAAACTTGAAATTTTAAATTAGCATTCTATTTCAATTATTGTTTTATAGAATAATTGATCTAATTTTCAATTATCATAATTAATTATATTTTTAATTATTTTTCTAGTATTGACCTCGATTTTCTTGAAACAGTTGCAAAAGAATGTTTATTAGTAGAAATAAAGCAGATTATAATCACATTTCCTATTGTGAATATTTCATATTGTGATGGAAAAAAAAATTATATTTTCTTTCAATTACTTTACCGTAAATTTAAAAATAAAACGAAATTTTGAATTTAAATAATTTATTTAAAAAATAATTTAAAATTATTATATAGTTCAAAAAAATTCTGGACTTTATATAAAAAAAAATCACTTCTTTTTTTTACCAACACATGTTTACTAATATATAAAATGTGTATTTAAAAAAAAAAATTGTAATACAATTTTAAACGAGAGCAACACGCGAGAAATTTTAATTATTAAACGCAAATTGATTGCGATTCGAGGTTCCTAAGCCTCGATGAATCTTTGAAACACAAAAAATTACGTAACAAGAGTTTTTAACCTGATTCTCACAATCCACGATTACAAATTGTACATGTATATATAGTGGAATGGTATTCATGAATCGTGAGAGGAAAAATCACATTGGACGGAAGTTAAATTAAATTGGAAATAAATATATAGGACTGAAAGAAAAAAAAAGGGAAACATGCAAGAAAGATCAGATAAAACAAAAAAAAAAAAAATTGTGGTCAATTTAAAAATTATTATTTTTTTTCTTACCATCAACCCATCGCCATGTTCTTGCTGTTATTAACGGCTCTTTTTGTGCTCCAATCCAAACTAATTGGGTTTTTAATTTATCTTTTCTTCTTTCAAGATTATTTAAAATAAAACTCGAGGATATTCCCTAAAAAAAAATTTTTTTAGTTCATATTTTTTTATATTTTATAATTATTTTTTATTATATTTATATTATGTTTTAGTTTATATTTTTAATACCTATTTAAAAAAAAAAAATACTTTTCATAAAAAATATAATTTAGAATTAAATTTTATTCTCCTTACGGTAAATCCGTGGATCAAATCGCCTCCCCGTGATTTACAGTGAGATCTTGCTTCGTGGAAAGAGCCACCTTTATTGACTATAAATTCATAACATGTTGAATTAAATGCCGCTAAATCGGCATCAGCTGGCGTTCCTGCATGTGCGCATCTGTCGACCGAGAATTCTGCGAAAAAAAAAATTTTAGAACAATTATTCTTAAATAGAAATAATTAAAATATTTTTTAATTCTTTTTAAAAATAATTAAATAATTATTTTTTTTTAATATTTATCACATGGTGAAATATAAAAAAAAAGTAAAAGAAAAATTAGTAAAGAAATATGCAAATGAAAATGATTTAAAAATGAAAAATGTATAATTAAATTTATCCCATAACATCTTGAATTTCTTTTGTTTTAGAGATTTATCTCACCATCGGTAGCAAAGACCTCGACTTCACAGAGACTCAAACTGCCTTCAACTCCAACCAATTGAAGAAACACGTACTGTCCAATCAAGGCCCTTGCACACACGAATGTTTTTGTTATTCCTTCCTCTGTAAGTACAAAAAAAAATTTTTTTTTAATTTTCAATCTGAACTAATAATAATTATTTCGAATAAAAATACACAGTTTCGAATTTAAATACAAAAAATGGAACAAAATACTTTTTTTTAAAAAAAATAATGATACTGTTTATAAAAACGGTAAACTAAAAACGGTTTTCGTAATTAGTGACAATAAACTCTTCCAATTTAGAAAATAGAATCACTTTTCAAATATATATAATTTGTTTATGACAGTAATAATAATTTCTGATTTTACACAGGTAATTGTATCATATTATTTGGAAAATTTTAAAGCATTTTTGCAAAGAGAACAAAATTTAAATAAGTGCTGTACGCATTCCGTCGAGAAAAAAAAAATTGTCGTACTTGTCTATTTAATAATCACTTACCAATTGTACCCGGAAACCATGCGCAAAGTGGATTTCGTTGTAATTCTGCGCTACTGTTACCAACACGAATTTCAATATCCTGAAGTGGTTGATGACCTGGAATTTAAATTTAACTCTCAGGTAAATTATTCGATATTTAAAAAAAATATTTCATTTCAATTTTTGATTGCAATTTTTTTTATATATTTTAAATATGATTTATTGAAATATATTTTTTTATTACAGAAAATTTGAATAAATATATAAATGGCAATGAAATAATTATAAATAATTTATTGGTGAAATTGACTAATTTTTATTATTTCGAAGGTTCGTGGAAAAAAAAAAGTTGTGGAATCTTACCGCAACAACCTCTGGTCGTCACCCTGACGACCTTGACAGCATATGGCTTGAGAAGATCTACCCTCCACCATGGACTAGGCTCACTTTGAGTTTCTGTACATCGTTTCCCATCGTGCTCTGTACCAAAATCTCCATCGTTTCCATGATTTGCATCACCTCCTCTCACAGTTGTAGATTGATTTGCCGGCTTTCGAAAACCGACATTTGTTCCTTTAGAAGAACAACAAAAAGAAAGGTAATTTAAAAAAAAATTTAATAATTCCAATTTCGTTCAAAATCAAAGTAATTATTTTTTTCTTTATTTTTCAACAAATCTTTGATTAAATAATTCCAATACCCTTTTTTTTTTGTTATCAATTCTAAAACCAGTTGTTAAAATTCATTCGCTTTTATTGTCTTGAGTAAATTCTCATCGCACCCCTTTTTCAATAAGTTGTATTTTACCGATTGACATCGGATAATTTCCCTAAAAGTCTATTGGTCGCCTATTTCTTTCTTTCAATTTTTTTTTTTTTTTCTTTTTGTACAAAATGATTTGTTCCTCGATCAAATTTATTTCCGATCATTAAATCTCGTTCAATCGTACATTCGTCTAATTAGAGAACAACAGCGCCTTTACTCTCGCGATCTCGATTAATATTTTTTTTTTCAAAGTCGGTAGCAATAGCAAAATTCCCATGGCAAGTTTTCTGCAATTCTTTAAAGAGTCTAGAGAGCGATATATATAATACGGAGAAAGGATTTCCCATCGGTAGTTCACTTCGTGATACAATATTCCTAATGGAGTCTCACGACTTGGAAAATTACAAAGCTCCTTGCACTTGTATTGAATATATATATATATATTCCTGCGCGGTTTTGAATCGTGATTTAAATTACTTTGTTAATTGATTGTAAACATTTATCGGAAGAAGGGGATATACGCAGTTCTCGTTAAAATTAACTTTAATCAATCATTAGGTATTTTTAAATAAAAAATAAAAAAAAGAAAGGAAAATAGAAAATTAAAAAAATTTACAGAAATATTTGACTCTTGAGTAAAATTTTTTTGAAGAAAGTAAATTTAGAATTAACAAATTTTTTAATTAATTTTATATAATTTCACATTTTCAAATTTATTCTTAAATTTATTTAAAAATTTATTTAAAAATTTAAAAATTTATTTAAAAATTTAAAAATTTATTTTCAAATTTATTTAAAAATTTAAAAATTTATTTTCAAATTTATTCTTAAATTTATTTAAAAATTTATTTTCAAATTTATTTTGTTTATTTTTTTTGCCAAATTTCAAAGTAATTTCTTTTTTGCCAATTGGAATTTGAAAATAAAAAATACATAAATGCAATTAGAAGATGTATCAATTTCTTATAGTCTTTTTTTTGTAACGGTTTGTCTGTTTAATGAACTTAATAATAGTCTTTGTTTATAATTAAAGTACTGTTGAGTCACTTACCACAGAATGGAAGTTCTCCTTGCCACTTCCCCCTATTATTACAGACTAGCGATCCTGTTCTGAAATTTAAAAAAAAAAATGAATATATTATTAATATTATTGACGTAAATTACTAATAATTTTCTTAAAGCGATTGCTAATATTGTTTAATTTACTTTCTCTTTTTTTTTTTTTAAACAATTCTGACAAAAAATTGTCTAAAGTAAAAAAAAAAAGTAACATTCGAAATAAAATTGTTCGGTAATAAAATGTAGGATAAAATTATATTTAATGAAAAATAGAAATATGTATAAAAACGAAGCTTCCTCTTAAAAAGGAAAAATAAAGTGCAAATTATAGAATAGAAAATTTTTAAAACATAAAATAGAAATGTTAAATCATTAAATATATTGAAAAGAAATTACAAATATTAAAAAATCATAAAAATCATAAACAACAAAAAATATTTTTAAAAAAATCATAAAGTACAAATATAAAAAAAATCATAAAATACAAATATTAGAAAATTATAAAATTCATAATGGTAGAAATCATTAAATATATACAATATTTTTAAAAATTAAATTAAAAACATGAAATCATAAAATAGAAAATTTTAAAAAACCATAAAACAGGGAAATATTAAAATATCGTAAAATACATATATTTAAAAATAATTATAATAAATAAATAAATATAAGTCTTCAGCTTTTATTGTTAGTTAAAACGAAATAATTCCTTTATTTTCGAAAAAAAAATTAAGTAAAAGCTAAATTATAATCGTATATTGTTTTAAAAGTGAAAACAAAATTGCATAAAAGGCAATCTTTTTGCGGTATATTTTTATATAGACAAAATATTTAAAGGAAGTTCGGTTTAGGGTAAGAGAAAGTTTAGTATATATATATATATCTTCCTTTATATTGTCAAAAGAGAATTTGTGGTTTCGTTTTCATATACATTTAATAAAGAAACCATAATTGCAATTAGTAAAAAAAAAAGAAAAAATTTGATTAAATGTTTCAAAATGACGACGGTAATTTATTGCTTCTCTATAATTTATATAAAATCTTGGATGTTCCAGATTTAATTTTCGAATTCTTGGCATGGAAACTAGTTTCATTTTTTTCATCTTTTATGATTAAATTGCAAATAGCGCAACTTTCCTGAAAAGAATTTTTGAGTAAATCGTTATTGATTTTTCAAGTTAGAAAAAAAAAAGAAGAAAAAGTGGAGCAAAATGATGTTAGTGATCTAATTTCTTGTTACAGAAATTATGTCCCTGGTTGATTAGTTTCTTTCTTCGATTTCTTTTTTATATATTTATTCTCAATTTTAATTTAAAAGAAAGATTTTTAAAAAAAAAAATTCTGTCTTCGCGGTATAATTTGCCTTTTTTGTATTTATATATTTGAGAACTAAATAATGAAAAAAAATTCCTTTGTTTCACATTCGATTTCTTTTGACTACAAAAGAAATATTTGAATTAAATATTTGTTAATCTTTTTTTTTTAATTTTTTTTTAATTTCATTCAAATTTTTTTGTAAAAACATTTTTAAATACTATTAATTTTTTTAAATTTAATTCAAATTTTTTTGTAAAAACATTTTTAAATACTATTAATTTTTTTAAATTTAATTCAAATTTTTTTGTAAAAACATTTTTACAATACTATTAATTTTTTTAAATTTAAGTCAAATTTTTTTGTAAAAACATTTTTACAATACTATTAATTTTTTGATAATTCGAAATTTGAATTATTTTTTAATAGCTTACCCGAAAATCTCGTAACCTGCATCGCAGGTGTAGGTGGCAAGGGTGCCTATTTTTAAGGTGTCATCTGATAGAGAAACCTTGGCGTTCATCGGCACTGCTGGTTGACCGCATTTTGTTCCTATAATGAAAAAAAAGAAAAATAAATAAAAAAATTGGGACGGTTAGGAAAACGGTAGTTACTGTTTATTGAAGTGTAAATATTGCTGGAAATGTAGAACAGTTAACGTTATATATATGTTAATTCGAATATTAGGAGACCTCATTAACAAAAGAAATTAATTATTAGAATCTTTATTTATAGGAGAACGGTAATTCTCGAATATGAAATAAATAATTTTTTTAAATTTAATTATTCAGTTAATTTAGAAATTATTATTTATTTTCAATTAATTTTCATAGTTTAATAATATATATATATATATAAATAATATAAATATTTATATTTATATAAATATAAATAATTAATAATTTGGTTAATAAAAATTTTTTTCATAAAAAATTCATTTTATATATTTTAATTTATTTTCTTTTGCTCGATGGCAATATAAAGATTTAATTTTAAAAGTGAGAAAATAACACCTCGCTCGACTGAGAACAATAGAAGAAATAAACCTGTTTTAAATAAGAAAAAAAAGAAAGTGACTTCTATTTAAAAAAAAAAATTTATTTGTCACTCCAAACAAAACTTCAGTAGTAAATATAACGGTCGTTCGTTTTCGAGACAATCTGATAATCATTGTTCCTTGTTTTCCTGATTATTATTATCGTTAATTAAATTAAATTTCCCCTACGTCTTCCTCTTAAATTTCCCTACGGAAAATGAATTCAAATTCTTTCTGGTTTTTTTTCACAAAAAAAAATAATTACATTTTGTAAAATTAGTTTTTGCTTATTTTCGAATTTATGTTTTTTTTAAAACAAAATTTCTCAAAAAACAAAATTCATTTTTGATTTCAAGAGGTCAATTTTTTTTTTTTGTTTTTAAATCAAGGTTTTGAAATATTTTTAAAAATAATATATTTTATTGACGCGAGATATATAACATTGACATTATAAGAATCAAGTTAAGCCGGATGTTCGCTAATTAGAGGCCGCAATATTCGATAATCAGATAAAAATCATTTTCGTTATATAATTTTTTTTTTCTAAATAGTTCAGCATGAATGATTTTATAACGATGATTCGATGATCATGATATCGCTAAGTATTGTAATCGTCATGATTAATCATCCATGCAAATGTTTATTGCCAATGAAAATAGTCAATGAACTTTTATTTTTTTTTATTTTTATCGGAAATGATGAATAACTAATTTTATTATAAAACGATTTTATTTAAGTACAATTATTAAGTATTTATTTGTTATATTCGTTATTATTATATTTATTTTTTATATTTTTGTATTTATTTTTTATATTTATTATTACTTTTATTTATTTATTTATTCAGATTAATTTAATTAAAAAAATGTAAAAATATTAATTTTACATTTTTCGAATAATTGAGATAAAATTTTTTAAAGATTAAAATAGAATAAAAAAAACCAATAAAATTGAATTTTTTTTTCTGAATTCGAATTATTGATTATAATATGCCTTTTTGTTACAGATTTCTTCTCAAAAAGAATTGTAGACCTGTAATTTCTAATTTAGTCACAGGATAACATTTCTCTATTGACTATATCATTATATAGACATTTGTTACAAGTTGGCATTGTATAATTTTCACATATGGAATCTCCAGTCTCTTTTACATTTTCTTTTATAAATCGACTATAGTTGTAATAAATACAAAACTATATAGTCGCGCGCACAATTGTACACCTTAAGGCGTTCAGCCTTGGTCGAGATCCCACGCGTGAATATTATAAACATTATTCGAATTCCATCGTTTCCCATGCGGGACATCCAATATATATTTTCTACATGCGAAAAGTCGATTGTTGCAAATAAAGTCATCACACCAAAATTGGTTTCATGAATATAATAAATTTCGTTATCGCGATTCGCGTTTTTTTTTTGGAATTCATTATTACTTAATCATAATTAATAAATTGACAAACTATACCCTTGAAATATTTAAATATGAAAATGTAAATGCACTCAAACAACACCTGTATAATTATAAATATAATTATGTAACATGTAACGTTACTTATTTCCATTTGCCACGATTTTCTATGTTATTATTTTATATTATACACATGAAGAATACTTTCTTTAACTCGTTATTCGAAGAGTGGAAAATTGTTTTAGTTCTGCGTTTAAAATCGGAAATTTGTGATTTTATTAATTCGTTTTTATTCAATAATAATTTTTTTTTTTTTGAAAAAAATTTTAGATTAAATTTCATTTTTTGTGCCTATAAATTTATTTTCTTTTAATGAAATAATAATTTTATTTTAATTTATAAAATAATAATAATTTTTATTTTAATTTATGAAATAATAATAATTTTCATATTAATTTATGAAATAATAATAATTTTCATATTAATCACAAGGGATATTATTTTGTTCTACTTATTTTTCTAATTTAATAAATTTTTTTTTTCAGAGATTGCGTGTGTTACCAGAAAAGTTAATTGGAAATGCAACATCGCGAGTCATTTGTGGTTGTTGGGATTTTTTTCTTCTTTGCCGCACCAGAAGGAAAGTACACCATCAAGTGTGGAAAGGAGGATGGAAATTGAGGCACGCGCCTCTCGTTGCTCACGACGTGAAGAAAAGAAGGATTTTATTTACAACTACATTGTTACCGGGTAAGAAATATCGTGTACCATACTCAAAAGATATATATATTCGAGATAATATCACATTAAACTCTCAGGAAGATGTTTTCCTTACAAGAAAATATATATCTATATGTAAAGGAGCCATTCACGTTATTGCCAGGTAAAATGATTTATTCAGTCTTTTAAGGTCACTGAGATGATATTTTTCTATGGCAGAAAATTCTCGTTTGGTAAATAATTAAAATATTATTTATTAATAAAAAAAATTAATTAGAAAATTAATGAAAAAAAATTAATTAAAAAATTAATAAAAAAAATTAATTAAATTAAAATAATTTATTAATTAACTAGCAATATTAAACGCGCGCAAGCGCGCCAAATTGAGTATTTCATTATTTGTTATAGAGAAATTAAAAATTAATATTATCAATAATTATTTAAATTTATTAGAATATTATTCCATATTAAATGATAAAAATAAAAATTATATGTTTATAGGCCTCAGATTATTAATTATTAAATTATTAAATTTTAAATTCAAAGTCTTTTAAAATTAAATTATTTTCCAAATTTTCAATTTAAAATCAAATGAAATTCAATTATTACCCAAAATTTCCATTCAAAATCAACTAAAATTCACTTATTTTCCAAATTTTCAATTTAAATTCAAATAAAATAAAATTATTTTCTAAAATTTCATTTCAAAATTAATTATCAAAAATCAACTAAAATTGAATTATTATTTAAAATTGTAATTGAAATTTAATTATTTTCCAAAATTTCAATTCAAAATCCAAGACAATTCAATTATTTTCCAAATTTTTAATTCAAAATCTTTTAAAATTCAATTATTTTCCAAATTTTCAATTTAAAATCACATAAAATTCAATTATTATCCGAAATTTTAATTTAAAATCAACTAAAATTCAAATATTTTCCAAATTTATCTATTGAAAATTAACAAAAATTCAATTATTTTCCAAAATTTCAATTCCAAAATCAACTAAAATTCAATTATTTCCCAAAATTTTAATTCAAAACCAAAGAAAATTCAAATACTTTCCAAATTTTTAATTCAAAATCTTTTAAAATTCAATTATTTTCGTAGTTTTCAATTTAAAATGAAATAAAATTCTTCAATTATTTTCTAAAATTTCTATTCAAAATTAATTATCCAAATTTTCAATAAAAAATGAACTTAAATTAAATTATTATTCAAAATTTCAATTAAAATTCAATTATTTCCCAAAATTTCAATTCAAAATCAAAGAAAATTCAATTATTTTCAAAATTTTCAATTCAAAATCAACTAAAATTCAATTATTTTCTAAATTTAAAATCAAATAAAATTTAATTATTTTCTAAAATTTCAATTCAAAATTAATTATTAAAATTTTCAATAAAAAATCAACTAAAAATGAATTATTATCCAAAATTTTAATTGAAATTTAATTATTTTCCGAAATTTCAAATCAAAATTAAAGAAAATTTAATTATTCTAAAAAATTTGAATTCAAAATTAATTGAATTTTCAATAATTTGAATTTAAAAGCATTTAAAATTTAATTATTTCTAAAATTTTCCATCGATAATTTTTTGAAATTTAATAATTTCAATTATAACTCTAAGGGAATTCAATTATTTTTAAATATTTTTATAATATTCTTTGAAAATTCAACTATCTGAAACCATTTTTTTTAATTAAAAATGATTATCAAATTATTGTATTTTGTCTGTAATTTCTAATAAATTTTTTAGTGAAATCATATAAAATTTTAATTAAAATCACTTGAAGTTCAATTAATTTCTAAAATCTCAATTTTAAATCTTTTGAAAATTCAATTAAATTTAAAAAATGTTTTCCAAAAAATTTTTTGATAAATTATTTTTAGTTCTGTAAAATTTTATTATTGTTTGAAAATTAACAATATCTTTTGAAATTTAATTATTTCTTAAATTTTCAAGTTTAATTTGACACAAATTTGACACGTCATAATATTACTATTCAAAAAACACGTGAAATCATAAAAGACCAACTTCAAGTTAGGACAGAAGGACAGACCAAGCATTTTATTATTATATAATTAAAATAATATTAAAAATTAAGTAAATTATTAAAATAATAATTTACGGTATTGTATTAATACTTCAATTATTATTATATTTTATTTTTAATTAAAATTAATTTTTTTCGAATATTTTTTATTTGAGCGTTTTGTAAATGCTTCTCGAATGATAATTAAAAATTTCGCATGTAAATTGTTAAATTCAATGATTTTAAATAAAATGGAAAGTAAAAGAGATTTTGAGTAAAATAGTGATTATTTTTTCGCAGAATCGAGATGAAGAAGCTTTCTTTACAAAGGCAAAGAATTACGACTTTGCTTATACAGAATGTGAATCGCGAATTGAGAAGGAGATGCGATCTCGACGATTATCTTTAAAATGAGAACGCGAGAGCTTCGCTTTCTGGATGGTCTTCCGGTCTTACAGTCAAGGACGATTGAAGGTAGATCACCTTGGATATCACTTAAAAGGGGTGTGGTCGTTTTTTTTTTTGTTTTTCTGTAAGTTGTTGTTTTTTGTTCTTTTGTTTCTTTTCTTTTTTTTAGATCCAAATATTTTAATACGAACTATTTTTCTATTCTTATTTTTATATTCGAAAAATTTTTCAAATTTTTTAAATTAAAATTTTAATTTCTTTTTTTTTTAAATAAACAGATTTTCCTTAGGAATTCTCTATAAAGTGAAAGTTCAATTCACATGAAATTACATTTTGTTATTCACGTGAATCTGCTAATTAATGAACAGAATGAGTAAACAAAAGTTATCAAATACAATGTGATAAACTTTCATATTTGAATTATAATTAGCATTAGTCTCATTTTTTTTTCTCTCTCTCTTTCTCTCTTGATTTTTTTTTTTTTATTAATTAAACGATCAAAAAACTTTCTTTAGCCACTTTCTTAGGAAGATATTTACATTTTCCCGATGTTCGATAAGAATTTCTTTCCTGTGTGATGAATCGTCATGACGTTGTAAATTCCATTCTTTTGTCTGTTAAATTTTTTTTTCTTGTCAGTCTTTATTGATTTAAATTTAAATTTTTGAAAAAAATCGAAAATATATACTTGATAAATAATAATAATAATTGTTAAAGGTAACCTGGAAAATAGGAACAAATCGATCCCGTTTTGAGGAAGATATATAGGATAAAGTTGAGAATATATGAGGAGCAAAAGAGACTTTGCTCTTTTGCGGAACTTCTTCTAGCTATCCAGTATATATATATATACACACACGTACCGGTACTCTTGATTCGAGACACCGTCTCTTTTCTTTAAAGCACCGTTATTTCGACTTTGACGTTTTGTAGCCGAGTGACCCAGACTCGTATATGTCCGCGGGACGAAGAACGAATGCCAAAGACTCTCAAAGGGTGAACAAACAAGTCAGCGACCAGTTTTTATAAACTCTGAAAATTCCAATAACGGGTATCTTTCAACAATTGATTTTTCTTAGTTTTTCGAAAAATTAGAAATAGGAAAATAAAATAGCGAATTTTTTTTTATTAGAGAAAAAAATTTAAATCAAAGGTGAGATTAAATGAGAATAAAAATTAAATAAAAACATTCTCTGTGTACTTTCGCTAAAGTTTTATGCAACAATAATCTCCTCGAAGTAAATATCTAGTGACCTGCGATTCACGATTCCACCCTGAATATTGTATTCGAATATATGTAACTGTACATTTGATACAGTAAATATACTCTGAATATACATATTTGCTTTTTTCTCTTCTAGATGTATATTTCTTTTTTTTTTTTTTGATAGGTTTTGTATTCGTGTGTGCAGTGAGGCGATTGTCCAGGAAGGTAGAAAGTAGGTGTGGCTGCTATATATCGTATGATCGAGGTCGATACACCGAGGATACTCGATATCGTCGGAACTAAAAAGAGAGGAGGGCGTTCAGCAAAGTTGCTTTTATATCCTTAAAAGAATTTTGATTTACAACCATAATCCATTATAAGAATTGCGAATGATGAATAAGAATAGAAAATAGTTTTACGCGGCGCAAATCAAATTTGTATTGAAAGATTAGGATTTTTTTTTTTTTTATATTAGGATTTAGAAAATTGGTTTTTTTTTGGTGCAAACTGAAAATATATTTTTTTTTTTGATATAGGAAATCGATACTGGAAAGTTAGTTTTCGATTTCTAATGAAATAGTAGAAGAATGTTGATGAAAACTTTCGTTTAATTTATATTTATAGTGAAATGAATATGATGAAACTTTCATTTAATTAGATTACAGTTAATTATAAATAATTTTGCTTATAGAAAAATATTTTTAAACCAGTAAAATTTCAATGATTCTCAAAATTTAAATATCAGAATTTTTTATATTGATTTGAATTTAAATTAAAATTAATTCTGAATTTTAAATTCAAATTTATTCTTTTATTTTATTCAAGTTGATATAATTTTATTATTTTCAATAATTTAAATTTCAATTTTTAATTTATTTACAAATTTTATTTTATTGCTTAAAAAAAACTGGAAATTTCAATTTTTTATTCTTTTAATATAATAATTTTATTTATTAATATAATAATATAATATTAATATAATATAATAATAATAATATTATATTAATATAATATTAATGTAATAATTAGTATAATAAGTTCGTAATTACTTTAATACAGTTACAAAATTTAAGAATTTCAAAAAATTGTTTCATTAAATAATTTGAAAATTATATTTCAATAATGAATTTCATCATAGTCATAAAATGGTTACTTCTTTCTCGTTCAGTAATTGATTATAATTTCAAGGAAATACTTTTTTTTTTCTCGACGGTAAAATTGATGCATTATGTTTCTTTTTTTTTTTTAAATACGTGTTGTATTTTTTCAAAAACAATTGAAAGCCTAATTTGACGGGGGAAATTGACATTAGAAAGTAAATACATGCTTTTCAGGTTTTTTCTTTTTTTCATAGAAAATTAATAACGTATACAAAAATTTATTCATAAAATTGAAATCCTCATCAAAATTGGTCTTCAATTTAGAATTTATTTCGAATATACTTTTCTTCTATATAATCCTCTTCGATTAATGAATTATTTATCTTGAGGGAAATTTCTATATTTTAAACTCTTTGAAAGGAAATCCGTTCTAAATGGATTTCTATATCTCCCCCCCTCCCTTCTAAAAGTAGGTTTATTTATTTTTTATATATTTAAATAAATTTTCCATCTTCTTGATTTATTTGCTAATATCTGGATTTTAATGAGACATTTTCTCTTTGACTTTCAAAAAATTTTTTTTCTAGGGTTTTGTAGAAAAAAAAAAATCTGTTTTTAATATGTAGATTCAATTCGTATAAAAAAAATTGAATAGCACGAATTTTCCTAAAAGGATAACGAGATGTAGAACTTGGTATTAACCTTGACCATATATTATATATAGCTATATATAACGAGCGGATTTTACCGTTAATCGAGAAATTGATTTTTACAGTATCGAGTAATTGAATTTTTTTTTTAAATGACATAGTTGTTGAGAAGGAAAATTCAAATTGCATTTCGTATTTTTATTTATAGTTGTCGAAATGGGGCTTTAGGCAATAACTTTCACGCAAAGGTAAACCATTTACCGAGAGGGAACTTTATTGGTAGATAAAAAAAAAAATGGAAACCGGTTGTTATTTTTGTTCACCAGAATTTTTGGGTGAAAAATTCCAGTTTAAAAAATATATTAATTTTTTTTCGAGAATTTCGATATATTTATTAATTTATAATAAATTTTTCTTTTGAATTATTAAAATTATTTACTATTCCAAATAATTTATTATTTTCGATTAAATTTAAATTAATAAAATAATGAATAAAATTGATCAATTTAAAAATAGAAAATGAATAATTTTTTTACTGGAACGATTTATATAATTTTTTTTTTTTCATTTTGTTCTCAAATTAGAATCAATGAATAGTAAATAAGGCGTAAAGAAAATTGGTTGAATGGAAATATTTTTGAATGAATTGAGCGCATATTATAATTTAGAGTTTGTTAACTTGTTTGGGATTTTATCGTTGGACAAGTGGTAGCAGAACATTTTATATATATATGATGTTTGGTTGCAAAATTCTATTGTTTAAAGTGCCACACAGCGTATCGCTATAGAATAAATGCCGCCCTGCGTTCAAATTGCGACACTGTATATATTTATAATATCCTCGCGCAAGAAATAAGGTTCTTTTGTAATTTACGCATCTTTGCCACCTGTTGTTGTAATTTCTTGTAACAATTTATGTCTAACTGCAAATGCACATTAGAATAATCACTGTGATTTGACCTCTAAATCTATATTCCTTTTAATCATTTTCATAAAAATGTTCTCGACAATTATTTTTTAAAATTTATTATGATAAAAATTAATTTTCTCCTATGGAAAAAAAAGTTAAAAATTTAATTCGTTTCTATTAAACAGAAATTAATTTATAGACTAATAAAATTATGAAAAGAGAGAAAAAGAGAGAAAAAGAGAGAGAAAGAGATTGGTGTTGAAAGAGTTACGTAGGCGTGAAAAGTCTGAGAACGCAAATCGATCGAATTTTTCTATTTGTTTCCGCGAGTTCGAAAGATCAACATTCAATGGATCTATTTTAAAAAAAAGAGTTATATACTCAGGAATTTATATTTCCATATTAAAAATCGTTATCATAAATCAATTCCTTTTTTCTCACAAAAAAAAAATAGTTGCTTTTATAATTAGCAAAAGACAATTTAAAAAAAAAAATTTTCCAGTGAAAGTGGAAATGAAATTTTAATTTTTTAAATTTAAATTTTATCTTTTTTAATAACTAATTTTTTTATTAGAGAAAAAAATAGTTGTTAATTAGCTAAATAGTTGTTAATTAGCAAAAGACAATTTAAAAAAAAAATTTTCCAGTGAAAGTGGAAATGAAATTTTAATTTTTTTAATTTAAATTTTATCTTTTAACGAATTTTTTTATTAGAATTTTTAATATTATTTATTAATTAATTGTAAGGTTATTAAGAAATAATTTTCTTTTGCTTATAGAAATATTATTGTCACTAAATGATCAAGTAGAAAGTATAAATGTCATTTTAGATGGAAAAAAAAGTCAATTATGTGAAAAGAAAATATTTCTCATTTTTAAAGTAAATTAGTTTAACGGAATGAGAAAATAAACTCGATTTTTTTTTTACTAATTTCTAATGGAAAAAATTTCTACTAGAAATAATTGTCATTAAATGAAATTTTATTTAAATATAATTATAGAGAAAAAAGATCAAGATAGATTGAAATTTTTTTGTTTTGTTTTAATATACGAGGGAAAGAAAAATTAAAAATAGTTTTATAACAAAGGAATTTGAAAGAATGCATTAGGTATCATCTTTATCCATTAATTTTTTTTTTCCTCGTCTGTCAAAAAGATATATATTTAAGATTTTGATCGATTCTTTATGATGCAAATGAATTATAAAGAAAAAAATTACAATTTAATTTAAGCTATTATTTATTTCACCATCGCAGTTCCTGCGTGTCTATTTTAAAATAACCTTGAGATTAAACTTGAGAAAGAACATTCATATATGTTATAATACATCAGGTACTGGTCTCGTTTATTATATATTATATATGACACAGGATTCGGTAATGAAACGTTTTTTTTTTTCATTTTAATGACAATTTTATATTACAGAATTTCTTGTATTTCTTTCAACAAATTTTTAATTGGAAAAAAAAATTTTTTCTTTACTAAAAATGAAAATTATGTAAATCAAATTGAATTTTGCTAATTATATTTTTTAATAGCAAATTTAATATTCGAAAAAAATTTTTTTATTATTATATTATTTTATATTAATTAATTAATTAATTAATTTATTTATTTATTACAATATAATATTATTTTTAATTTATATATCATATTTTCTTTATTTCGAAAGTATTTTACGCAAATATTTTATTTTCTAAAATAATGGAATAATGGTGTAATATTTAAAAATCATGAAAATCATTTACATCTCTAATGTTGATATTTATCATTTACAGAACTGAATATATATCCGGACCTGATTGGGATATACAAAACGAAGTCAAAAGGAGTGCCTCAGACATATTTTATAAATGCACAAAGTTTCTATAAGAAATGTGGATATATTATTTTCTTGATGCAGTCAAGTTTTGCTTGTATATATTACATTTTATAGTAAATAACGAAGGGAATGCCTCTGCTTCGCACGCTTTGTCGGTCAATCTACTTTGAATTTATAAAAGCAAACCACTCGCAGGAGTCGGTCAAACTGGCCGGCGAACTCACTAATACTACATTATAAGAATATTATAGAAGAAAATTAGAACGTCGCGCAAAGGAGCTTTACAGGTACTTTTATTTTATATATATATATATATATGTACATGTATGTGATAATGTAGTTTGTAGAAATGAACGGACACATTTATAAGAGTGAACGCTCGACTCCATAAGGAAATTGTACTGATAAACGCGCTCACGGTGGGATAGGCGTAACATTTAGGCTCTTTGAAACGTAAAATAGAGAGTGAGATATATATAAAGTACCATTGCTGCTGGCCATACGTGCAGAACACGTTTTTTTTTTTTCATTAAGAACTCACGTGGATTTGAAAGAGAAAAAAAAAATTCGAAAATTCAAAAGGCATTGAAATTTAGAAAAATATAAATTTTTTTCCATTTGACTAATTATTCACATTCATTCAATTAGAAAGATAAAATTTATTTTCTCCTTTATTTGATAAATTGTTTAGAATATAAAATTGAAACAATTAAGTAAATAATTTAGAAAAAAAATTATAATTACATATAATAATAGTGAATATCTTTCGTTCATTCTGTCCACACCTGAAGTTAGTATTTGTTATAGATCTTTTGTTTTTTTTAAATGTATTGTTTGACATTATTTTGTGTTGGTTAAAATTTTCCAATGTTTTTTTGGCATTGTTTCGATAATTAATTTTGAATCGAAATTTTAAAAAATAATTGAATTTTATTTTATTTTAAATTGAAAACTTGGTAAATAATTGAATTTTAAATTGAAAATTTGAAAATAATTTAATTTTAGTTGATTGTTGATTGAAAATTTGAAAATAATTAATTTTAGTTGATTGCTGATTGAAAATTTTGATAATAATTAATTTTGACTCGAAATTTTGGAAAATAATTAAATTTTAATTGAAATTTTGGATAATAATTTAATTTAAGTTGATTTTGGATTAAAATTTCGGGTAATAATTGAATTTTAATTGAAATTTTCGATAATAATTTAATTTAAGTTCATTTTTAATTGAAAATTTCGATAATTAATTTTGAATAAAAATTTTAAAAAATAATTGAATTTTATTTCATTTTAAATTGAAAACTTGGTAAATAATTGAATTTTAAATTGAAAATTTTGAAAATAATTTAATCTTAGTTGATTGAAAATTTTGATAATAATTAATTTTAGTTGATTGTTGATTGAAAATTTTGATAATAATTAATTTTGACTCGAAATTTTGGAAAATAATTGAATTTTAATTGAAATTTTGGATAATAATTTAATTTAAGTTGATGTTGAATTAAAATTTCGGGTAATATTTGAATTTTATTTAATTTTAAATTGAAAACTTGGTAAATAATTGAATTTTAAATTGAAAATTTCGATAATTAATTTTGAATAAAAATTTTAAAAAATAATTGAATTTTATTTCATTTTAAATTGAAAACTTGGTAAATAATTGAATTTTAAATTGAAAATTTTGAAAATAATTTAATCTTAGTTGATTGAAAATTTTGATAATAATTAATTTTAGTTGATTGTTGATTGAAAATTTTGATAATAATTAATTTTGACTCGAAATTTTGGAAAATAATTGAATTTTAATTGAAATTTTGGATAATAATTTAATTTAAGTTGATGTTGAATTAAAATTTCGGGTAATATTTGAATTTTATTTAATTTTAAATTGAAAACTTGGTAAATAATTGAATTTTAAATTGAAAATTTCGATAATTAATTTTGAATAAAAATTTTAAAAAATAATTGAATTTTATTTCATTTTAAATTGAAAACTTGGTAAATAATTGAATTTTAAATTGAAAATTTTGAAAATAATTTAATCTTAGTTGATTGAAAATTTTGATAATAATTAATTTTAGTTGATTGTTGATTGAAAATTTTGATAATAATTAATTTTGACTCGAAATTTTGGAAAATAATTGAATTTTAATTGAAATTTTGGATAATAATTTAATTTAAGTTGATGTTGAATTAAAATTTCGGGTAATATTTGAATTTTATTTAATTTTAAATTGAAAACTTGGTAAATAATTGAATTTTAAATTGAAAATTTGGAAAATAATTCAATTTTATATATAATTTAATAACATATAATAATAATTTTCATTATTATCATTTAATATGAAATAATATTCTAATAAATTTAAATTATTATTGATAATATTAATCTTTAATTTCTTTATAACAAACAATTAAATACTCAATTTGGCGCGCGTTTAATATTGCTAGTTCCAAATCATAATTTAGAAAAATATAAATTTTTTTCCATTAGGAATTATTTATTTATTATACTAAAGATAAAATTTATTTCCCCACCCTTTTTTTTTTTTTTTTTTGATAAATTGTCCAAACAATTAGTAATTAAATCGAAATTATTTTTTTTATCGAGAATATTATTTGAGATTTGTTTTTAATTTTTTTTCCCTAAAATCATTATTGATTCAACAAAATATAGTCAGCATTTTTTTTTTATTTAGCGAAATAGTTTTCAATTTAAATATTCGAGAAAAAAATTAATTTTTACCCTCGAGCAAAATGTATAATTATCCGCAACATTTAATTAGAGAGGAAAAAAAAATTAATACTCCGAACATGAAAATTGTAATTATTTAATTTTAAGGGCAATTAGGAATTTACAAAGGTAAAATTGTATCGTGAACTCAATTGTCTTTTTTACTATTCGAATAATAGAAAATGAGAGACAATAATATAGAAAAAGGAGAGACAATGAACAAAATAGGCGAGACAATTAAGTAAATGTCAATCGAAAATTCAGTAACGTCCAAGACAGAAAGTGTAATAAAACGTGACAGAGAGCATTGAGTTGCAATACAATTATATATTTAAACTGCATAAGAAATTAGTCGTATAACGCCGACGAATTGGTCAAGAATTCACAAGTAGAATAATTTAATATTTTTATTTTCTCTCTTGAACTTTATTTTCTAAAAAAAATTATTTTCAAACCAATACTTATATTTCTCGTATATATTATTAGTTGAGACAATTTTTTTTTTCTAAATTTTCCTCCAAACTATATATTATTATTTATTGAAAAAACAAAAAATAGCAGAAAAATTCCTATAAAAAAAAGGATCGTTAAAAATATAACTATTATTAAATTTACGATCTCAAATATTTTTGGGTTTTAAATATTTCTTTTTTTTACGTAAATATTTGTTTCGCATTTGATAACCAATTTCTTTCTTTTAATAAATAATTTTTATAAAGAAAATTTTTTGGAATATTTTACAATTTAATTTTTAATTTGTTTTTGCAAGGTAAAAAGAATGATAATTATTTAAAAATTCTAATTTCGAAATATAATTTGGAAATTGCGATTTTAAATCTTCTAACTGAATTGTAATTTTCTAGGTCGAATCTTGGAACAATATACGAACACGAGGAAAAAGATATATATTTAGAGGAAAGTAGATGCGCGTTTTATTTAAAAAAAAAATTATTTTCACATATGGATACCAAGGACGGAGAAAATAACCGCCTATAGGAAACACGAGTTACTTTTCCCCTGGATTTTTTCTATATCAGGTTTGTGCGGATACTATTTCTCTCTTGGTTAGTGATCTTAAAAGAAAAAGTTGCATTTATAACGACAGTGTTTGTTCAGGAAAAAGTGGGTCATATATACAAACGCGCCTATATATTAAATTTCAACGAACAGGTGGACAATCCTCCCCTATTTCCGGTTTAAAGAGAAGTCAGTAATCGAAAGTGAAAAAAAGGGGTTTTCACATTTTATACACAATTTCTCCTCGTTTTCTAAAAAGCTTTCTTTTTAATAAACAATTAATAAAATAGTAAATAATATAATTATTATTATTACAATTTTGTTTGATTTTCAATTTTATTTCACAAATTTTCAAGTTCATAAAAAAATGATAAATTTTTAATTTCACTTTTAGTGTTCATGCTGGCGTCAATTATTGAAAAAAGTAGAGCGAATAAAATAACAAAATGCGAATAATAAAAAAAAGGTAAATTCGAGAAGGTGAGAGTCGTTGAGTGTTGAATAAAAGTCTCTCGGGATATACCGGGTGACCTCGAGGCACCAGAAAATCTACGAGGACGTAGATCGCGAGTAGGCGTTAACAAAATATACTGTATTATTTTATTTATTTTTTTTTTAAAGGCTTAATTACAATTTGTCACCAATCAACTCTCAGGAGAAGGGAAATTCCTTTTATTTTTCATCTCAATTCTCATACCGGATTTCGATAATTACAATGATAATAGTAATAATAATTATTTATCGCTACTTTATTAGAAAATATTACGATTAATTGCGAATTTCTTTTCTATAATTAATTCGCTTCTGATTAGAGGGAATCAAAAATAAAAAAAAGAAAATTATTTTATGACTTTTTTCACGAATCATTGAAAATTGGAAAAAAAGGCACATTCAATTAAATTAGAAAAAAAGATAAAATACTGCAATTTCTAAATATTACGCAAATGAAATTTTTTACAATTCTTTTTTCTACAATTGAAATTCCAATAAAATGACTATATTTTTCTTTTTTTTTACAGCATAATCGAAATGTTACGGATCGTTTGATACATTTCATGAGAGCAACTCATGTTTCTATTTTTTTTAATCCCGGAGCCAGAAGGTCAGGACTTGCAATATGTTAATTCAAGTATACATACCATGAACGACAACGGTCAGGAATCCCACGAGGGGCAGCAGGATCTTATACACCAAGATCATTCTCCAACCTCGAAAAAATAGAATGTTTGTCACATTGACGATGGGGGAGGAAAAAAAAAATAATTTTCCTTCGTTCAAATATTTTGCCTCATTGCGGAGAAAAAAAAACAGAAATCATTTGGTGAATCGCGCGCGCAAAGTTCAAACGACAGGTACGCAAAAACAAAAACTTTCACAAAACACACTTTCTGACCAACAATATTGTATAGAAACTCACAGTGTTGAAATCCTTTGGCCTTTATAACTAATATATTAAATAATTCGCGTTTAATTTTTTACTCTTGACCGATTAACACTTAATTTTTTTTTCCACTTTTTTCTTTCCCTTTGGTGTATTTATACTTTTCCTTTGGTGTCTTTTTTTACTTCTATTTTGTTATATTTTCCTTTATTTTTTTTTTACAATTCTTCTATTTTTCTTTTTCTTTACTATTCTTTTATTTGTATTTTCCTTATTTCCTTTCTTTCTACTTTTTCTATTCTTTTGTTTAATTTTTAAAAATTATTTTTCCTTTATTGTTTTATTTTTAATTTTTTACTTTCAACTTTTCTTTTTTTTTTAATTGACTTTGACGATTAATTTTATATTTGACTTTCCCTTCATTTGGTTTTATTTTCCAAACACTTATTGGATTTTATTCTCTTTTTTTTATATATTGTGAAAGTCTTCTATTTTTTTATGAATCTTTCTTCCTTTTTTTTAGGAAATTTCGAAATTATGAATTATTTCCATTTAATTTGTGAAAATAGCATTCAACTCTCCGCGATTTTTCAAAGCATTGAAATCACTCAACTTTTTTTTCCTCTTCTTCTTCTTCTTCTTCTCAGACACAAAAATTCATTCCCGCGCCGATGAATCAGAGATGGAATTTAGTCAAACCATATTTGAAATCCGAAACTTTTCTGAATTCCGTTTTTATTTCACATACACAACACACTTTTTTAATTTTTAATTACGAATCATAGTATTTTTTTTTTTTAATTGCACTTTTTTAAAACACTGATTTTTTTTTATTCCTTTTTTGTCACTGGAATTGAAAAATTCACATTTTTTTTTGTTTTTAGAATTTGTTTTTTCTTAATTTTTGAAATCGAGAGAATTGAACACGAGAAACACAACTGTTCCCTTCACCGGTTGAACGCGGAGTGTCTTGTGTTTGACCAGAAGTTTTATTTTCCTCTCACTCCTATATCATCTAACCCCCTTTGGCCTCTCTCTTTTTAACTCTATCTCCGTTTTATTATTTATTTGCCTTCTTTGTTCCTCTTTTGATTCAATGGAGGGACGTAGGCGTTTTTCTCGCGGACTTGTACTCTATATATATATATATATTTCTTGACTCTCGTTGAACGACCTGCGGTGTAATAATACTTATATATATATATAGATACTGATCTGCATCAGTTGAGATGAACGCAACCACGCATAGTAATAAATTCATGATTCTCTTCTTTTAAATGTCGGAAGTTAACAATTTCAATTTTTTTTCGGAATCGAAAAAAGAATCATTAATTAAAAAATACATTTCAATTTTCGTTGGTAAAACCTTTTTTTCGATTAATATGAAAATTTTTTTGTTTGGATAATTAGTGGATTTTTTTTTTTTTATTTCACTTCTGGAATTTGTTCAATTTTAAAAATAATTGTTTCTTTAAATTTAAAACAAAATTACACTACGAAATGTCCAAACTGAAAAGTCCAAGGGACGAAAATTCCAAAAAAAGTTCAAAATGGAAAATTTTATTTTCAAAAACAATGTAGAAATTGTTTTTTTTAGAATTTATTTTCAAAAACAATGTAGAAATTGTTTTTTTAGAATTTATTTTCAAAAATAATGTAGAAATTGTTTTTTTAGAATTTATTTTAAAAATTATTGATTGATATTTCGCCAATGTTGTTGAAATAAAAAACCAGAATTTTGATAACTGAAGCATTTCAACAACATTGTTTCCAAGACACACCACGTGGAGGTAATCAATCACGTGTCTCAAAAATTAAAAAAAAAATTAGATCAATATGTTCAGAAATAATTATAAATTATAAAAAATTTTTATCTGTAAAAAAAATAGAAAATTATTTTAATTTGAGAATTTTTTTGGTCTCTTTTGACTCTTTAGGTCCTTTTAAATATTATGGATTTTTTGTCCTTTGGACTTTCTAATTATTTTAAATTTGCTCCTTTGGACCTTTTTTAATTTTCAAATATTTATTTTTATATTAATTTTTATTTATTATTTTTTTTAAAATTTTTTTTATTTTTTAAATTTTTTTTATTTTTTTTTTATTTTTATTTTTTTATTAAATTTACGATCGTGAAAATACAGTTCAGTATTTTCCTTTTTTGAAGATCGAAAAACAAATATTTATGACAAATTTTAAAACGATAATTTTTCCAGCTGTAAAAACAAATAAGGAAATGCGGAAGAATTTTAATTTTTTTTTTTGGGCAAAAAGTATATCATCTACATAACGTTTTACATAAGAAGAAGGCACTGTTAAATAAAGAGAATAGAAAGTATAGTAACAATAAAATCATGTAAAAAAAGGTCAACTCTTTTTTAAAAGTGGTACAAATTGACATAAATGTTTTTTAAAAATACCGCTTTTTGCATAATTTTGCCTCTTAACATCACGTAAAATGCAACTCTCTTTTATTCTCTTGTCTAAATATAAACTTTATAGGGCTAATAAATCATTCATCTACAAGCATCTCGTGGCATATTTTTTTTTTTTTCATAACTGCAATCTCATATTCCATTGTAAAATAGTTGAAAAAAATATTTAAATTCCAATTAATTAATAATAAAAAATTCTCAACTTAATTATAATAACATTGAAAATTGTAAATAATTTAAATTTATTAATTATAATAATATTAAAAAATTGTAAATATTTTTCACAATTTATTAATTATTCGAAATTATAAATAATTTTTACAATTATTAATTATCTGTTTATTAATGAAAAAAAAACAATTTTCCCATAATTATTGTGTTTATGATGATATTTTTATTACAGATTGCAGACTCTTGGTCCAGTTATGTTTTATATGATTAAACGTGATCTACGCGGGGCAATTAAATAAAAATGCAGTATTGATCGAGCAGCAAATGCAATTATAAAATTCCGCTTTCTCACCAAGAAGCTTACGGGTAAGTTGTTTTTTTTTTAAGAAGACATACATTGTTTTTTATTTATTCTAGAATGAAAAAAAAATAATAATATACCTCATTGAACATAATATATATGGAAATTCAAATTTTTCTTTATTTGTCTGTGAGAAAAAGTTGAGAATTTCTATAAATTAATTCAAAGGGGTCAAATTTATATAATTTTCTTTTGCAAATATTAATTTACAAAACGAGAAAAGAAATAATAAAATATATAAATCACAAAAGGATTGAAATAATTATAATTTATTCAAAATGAAAATAATTTAAAATTCATGTCCTTTTTTGTTTAAAGTAAATTACAAAGGATGAGTATTTATAATTAAATATGGTAAATAATGATTAGTGAAATTAAATAACATTTTATTTTATTATTTCGGTATAAGAAAGTTTTGCTCCCACGCGACAAAAGTTATATATTATTTACTTGGCGAATAAAAAAAAAAAAAAAAAAAAAGTGTATTATCGTACAAAAGTTAATGTATATACCACGCAAGCTACAAATAGATTACAGAGCACTGATTAAATTCAATCCATTTACTCTCCAAAGTAAATTCACTGTTTTCTCAAAGGAAAGCATATATATACATAACAGAACGTGTGAAATAATTACGCTAGATATAGAAGAGAGAAAAAAAGAGTTGTACAGCTCAAAAGAAATAATGAAATTTCATTTTTCTCCAAGATATCAAATCCCTGTCGCTTCTATTGTTTTATAAAGATTAATTATTAAGATTTATCACAGAAAAAAAATTCTCTGAAAATTTTTTAATTTTTTAAATAATCGAATTTTGGTAAAATAAAATTTGAATAAAATTTATTTTAATAAATGGCAAATGAAAATCCATTAGTAATTTTTTTTTTTTTTTATTAACTATTAGTATAAATTTTAAATACGATAAAATAGTTAATAGTAATTTGCGTTTTTCAAATTGGAAAATATTGTGGTTATATAAAATTGTCAAGACATTTCAAAATCGATGCTCTTGTAACCTTTTTGTATGTGTATGTATTAAGTGCCAGTACACTTATTAGGTCCGGGTATATACTTTACTATTTACTCATTAATGAGAGAAAAAAAAAAAAGAAAAATGCAAAAACCGTTTCAATTGGTCGATCAACCCGTCTTTAGACACAAGTGGAAAATTAAATGCAAACCGGTTTTATCTAACTTGGCAGTTCCTACGTACATAGTTCATAAATAAAAGAGAGGACATTAATCGTAGTCTTCAAATTATTATACATTTATTATTTACCCTTTTATGTAATTGCGCGAGATGCTGTGAGCGCCTTCACTTTTACTCAAAAACTAATTTTCTAATTCCCAATTATTATTCCTTTTTTTAGAGATTATATTAATTTCCTTTTTTTGCAATTTTATTTATTTATAAAAAAAAATAATTCACTTATTTAATTTATTATTTCTTTTACAGATGAAAATATTTGGCAACAATCAGGACAATAAAAAAATGTGGTGAGTGACAAATTTTGTTTTTTTTTCGCAAAAGCAAATTTAAAAATAAAAAAAGAAAGTAAACCAATTTTTTTTATTCAAAAAACTTGTTTTAGATCAATTACATCACTGCTGACATAAATAAGAATTTACTTTCAGTTTACGGGATTTATGTCTCCTTTTATAAACGAAAAAAAACTTTCTTTTTTTTTAATATCAAAAGATTTGTTTTTTATACTACTAAAAAATTCTTAATTCATTTAAAAAGTAACTAAAGAACTAAAAAAAAATAAATTTTGTACTTTTAATTCTATTTTTTTATATAATGAAAATTTTTTCAATTAAGAAAAAAATTACTGAATTATTATTTTCCACTAACTTCTTGGTATGATAAAATGCGTTTTATAATATTGAGTTGCACGATTTCAATAAAAGAAGATTTAAAACACCGTTAAACTCAATTTCAGAGTCAATTTCATAAGATACGATAAAGTCACTATATCGTTACGACGATGAAATACAATGGCTTTACCACAATTTTTTTTTCCCCCTTTTTTTTTTTTGCCATAGCAATAGTAACAAATTTGAACTCCCACAGTTATCTGAAGTTCCATTATGACAGTAATTATCATTACTTTGCCACAATAATGACTCGATGTTGCGGCAAAAGAAACGGAAATTCCATTTTTTTTTTTTCAATGTTTAGAGAGCCACGTGCTAAAAATGTCCATTTATTCTGGAAAATATTACCTATTACAGTTCTAGTTTACTGCTGCCCTAGAATGAAAATCGTGTTATTGAATTATTTTTCAATAATAATTATTGTTTTTTGAGAAAAATAATATTTTTCAATTATTACAGTAGTTCAATTTCGTTATTTGTTTATTCAATTATTTTCAATTTAAAATTAATTTAGAGATTAAATTTTTTGAAAAAGAAACAAATTTTTTTTATTTATTGAAATATTTGAATGAATTACGAATTATTATTTAAATATATTTTTGTAGATTGCAAAAATTTTTAAACCAATGGTAAATTTTCAATTTTTGATTTGTGCGACAGTAATATTTAAAATTCCCCTTTTTTTTGGAAAAATTATAAACTAATATTTGTTATTTTTAATTATTCCAAAATAAGTAAATTAAAGTTTGCTTTTTTGGAATAAATAAACTAATATTTGGTTTATTTTTAATTATTCCACGATAAGTAAATTAAAGTTCGCTTTTTTGGAATAATTATAAACTAATATTTGGTTTATTTTTAATTATTCCACGATAAGTAAATTAAAGTTCGCTTTTTTGGAATAATTATAAACTAATATTTGGTTTATTTTTAATTATTCCACGATAAGTAAATTAAAGTTCGCTTTTTTGGAATAATTATAAACTAATATTTGGTTTATTTTTAATTATTCCACGATAAGTAAATTAAAGTTCGCTTTTTTGGAATAAATAAACTAATATTTGGTTTATTTTTAATTATTCCAGGATAAGTAAATTAAAGTTCGCTTTTTTGGAATAATTATAAACTAATATTTTTATTTTTAATTATTCCAAAATAAGTAAATTGAAGTTCGATTTTTTGGAATAAATAAACTAATATTTGGTTTATTTTTAATTATTCCAGTAAATTAAAGTTCGCTTTTTTTTGGGAAAAATTATAAACTAATATTACCTTTTTAATTATTTTACAAAAAAATTTGATTTAAAAAGATTTCAAAATTCAAAAATATTCCAATTTGTTTCAGACAACCAATAGAAATGAGAGTTCAAGTCGGTAATACAGAAAAAAAACGGAGTTAGTTTTATAAACTGATGCAATATGTCACCACTGGATATTTCTTTTTCCCGCCAATAACGTTTGAAAATTTTCGGAATTGCTATTATTTTAACTACATTTTTCTTCTAAATATATGGTAAGTGAAAAAAAAAATTTTACTATTTTAAAAAAAAATTATACTATTTAACAGAAATGATAAATTTAAATCAATTTTTAAACGAAATAAATTTTGAAGGAACATTAAATAATCATACAAAAGATAATATTTAATTATAAAAAATTGGAAATTTTTTATATTATAAATATCTACTACTATTATTAATTAAATTAATAATATTACACAAAATTTTATATAAAAATGCGATAATTTTTTAATTTTTCGCATAGAAGGAACTAAAATTCTAATTAGGATTTTTATAAATAATAACACGCACATCTAATATGCATTTTATTGTTGGCCAAGTATTTAGATGACAGAAATAAACAAGTGTGATCTTGTGTACGCCTGCGTTTGTTTGTTTGTTGTTTTTTTTTTTTTTTTTGTTTATTCCTGACTTTTATCTCTCACTCACTTTTCTGTCACACTCTTTTTTCTATTTTTTTTTTATTTCTTTTATTCATTTAATACAATTCTTTTCTCTTGTTCATTATTCGTCGCGAATTTTTTTTTTTTTTTATCAGTGTGCGAGTGTGCGTGTTAGTCTGCGACTAATATAATATATGCGACTAATATATGCGGATTTGTAAAGCTATTTCTTTTTTTTTTTCATCTATATAGAAGCATTTAGCGTTTCATTGTTAATGACAAAATTTCTTCATTTTTACAACGAAAAAAAAAAAATAAACAAAATTTTCACTCTTTAAAATAATAAATGCATATAAAAAATATATAAAAATAAATTTTCAAAAACTAAAGCAAAAAAAAATTTTTTTAATTTTTTATTTTATATAATTATTAAAAACGACTTTTTTTTCATTGTTTTAATGAAGAAATCAATTCATTTCAATGAAGAACAATAAAATTTCAAGAGATTTATTTTCGCCTCTGAATGTTTTAACATTATGCAGGAAAACCAATTTAACAAATTGAAACAAATACCATTGTTTTTTTTTTGTTTCTTTAAGAAAGAAATGTATTTTGAAAAATATTATTCACTTGAATTTTTTTTTTGGTTGACTTCTTAAAATTTACAATTTGTACTTTACTGATGAGTAAACGGCAAGGTTTCAATTTATTATTTTGCCCCTGCATTATGGCAAGTCGTGAATTTTTCCTTAAATAGGCAAAATACAATATTTTCTCTTCTTTCCTATCTTCATTTTAATATCGACTTATGTCTCTAAACATTTAGGTAGGAAAATAGAAACGGAAACTTATTCTATAATATTTATCTCTCATTTTCCCTTTGACCTCCCCCTTTCAGTTTTCTTGTATTCATTTTTCAGACTTTTTTTTTCTTTTTGATTCGAACAATGGATAATTTTCTTTCCATCCTCGTGATTCATTATAACATTTTTTATTTTTATCATACAAACATCGACCTCGGAATCGATCCACATATTAGTAAAATATATATTTTATATATTTATATTTATATCAATTTTGAATCTATGAAAAAATAATTCTTTTTCTACTTTTTTTTTTTATTTTATGTAATCTCTAGACATTTTCGCCTCTCTTATAGTAAATTATTAAATTTATTAATACTACAATATATATTTCTATTTTTCTTCTTTCATTTACATTTTGGATTCGAAGGTTTTTTAGTACAAGTATTTTTTTAAAATAAATTATACTTTTCAAATAAATAAATTTTTTTAAAAGAAATTAAAATAAAATTATATTTTTAAAATTGAAATTTTTTTCAAATAAAATTTTTCGAATGTAAAGGAAAATAGTTATATTTTTGTGACTTGGTTTTTTTTTTTTTTAATTGAAACTAAACTAGCAAGAAGTAGCTTATTATTATCTCGACGAGATCGACTTTCTTCTAAATTTCTATGCAAGACACCCTGTATTTAATTATTATCGAAACACGAGGCTGAACAAGAAATCGTAGGCCATTTTTGTTAATTAACAATTATAATTAAATTTATTTCGAAAAAGATTTAAGGCCAATTTTTTCTCCAAGACAGGACACTTTGTTTCAAATTCAAATATAGAAGGGGAGGCGAGATAATATAATCAGTTATTTATATTGGAAACTGATTTTTCGAAAGACAAATTTACATATTTACATAAATATATATATGTATATTGTATATATATATATTTATAATAATATAAGCCAATGAGAGTATCTAGAAAGCACACCCTGGACGAACGTACAATTTTTTTTTTTTTAAATGGTAATTCTATTTGCCTCTTTTTTTTCTCTCCTTTAAGCTACATAAATTTTTTTTTTCTTTTCTTTTTAAATGGAAAAATACTATTTTATGATTAATAATTCTTTTTTTTTAAATCTTGCAATGATTGAATTATTATTTTCTAATCTAACAGACTTCGCACGGACGAATAGTAAAAGTCAAAAGAAAAATGCTTTTTAGTCACATTTTTTTTTTTCTTACACGGTTTGTATTTTAAAAAATACACAACTGAGTAAAGAATGTAACTCCTATGTACAGAAGAAATTCCTATACTTATAAATATTATTACAGTACTGTGTATTTTTTTCCAAATAGTATTAAATTTCTTTTTTTTTTAATTTTCAAATACAGAATTGTAAATATATATGTACGAGTATAGGAAATACTGTCCTTAATAAGTAACCACTAAGTACACCTCCTGTTTAAATTGCACTAACTCAATTGCCACGATCTTTCTTTACAACTCTCACTCGCTTAGCCACAGTTTTCCTCGCATAAATGAAATTCGCGAGATTTTTTTTTTTTTTCTTTTATTGTGTGTTTTTGTACTAAAATCGTATATTAGACCTTGTCGCTTAAAAAAAAGCGCAGCCTTTATTATTTCTTTTGGGTGTTTTTAAAAAATTAGAAGAAAAAAAGGAATTTTATAAATTAAATTAAAATTTTAAATCAATTTTTCGTTTTTGATAAATTTAAATCGTCACAGTTAAACATTTAATTAGGAAAAGTTACAGTTAAACATTTAATAAACATTAAAAGTTTAATACATTAACATTTAACTCTTAAAATTTGTATATCAAATATTTATTTTTTCCACACAGATTTTTTTAATCTGATTATTAAAAAGTATAAAAAATAGAGAAAAGCGATCAAAAATATTTAAGAAAAAATAAAATATAGAAAAATTTAAAGAAAATAAAATACTTTGAAAAAACTAAAAATATATCGGAATAGAAAATTCTGAATTATCGTAAATAAAAAAATATTTTTTTTATCACCCAAGGCCTGCAAAGTCTCTATTATATATATATATAGGAAAAAAGAAAAACTACTTAACCGAGGGTAACAAGCGTTCACAAACACAATGCTTAATAAAGATTGGGGCCTACTAATAAGCATGTAAATTGTTTAAGAATTTTTAGTTTTGTCGCAAGTCACTTGCACGATGAGTCATCAGCAGAATATAAAAAATGATTTCTTAAAAAATCCTTAATCCTAATATTTTGCACAGTCGGGTTTGTTTTTTTTTTTTCATTACCCGTTTTGAGTTTTTAAAAGAGAAACGAATTTTAGCGAATTTAATTGAAAAAAAGTACATTTTTTTTTATGAATAATAAAAATGTACTGCGAGAAAAAAAAATTATATAGCACCAATAATCTGGTATCCAAAAAACTTTTTCAGTTTTTTTTTTTTTTCGTTCATTCATTCTTTTTTAATGGAATCAAAAACATGTCTTTATGCTTCTTAATTATTGACTTTTTAAGATTGAAAATTTTTTTCTTCGCTTAAAAAGTCAAAAACAAAAAAAAATTATCCCTCTTTCGATACCATTATTTCACAAGGTTCAACTTATTAATATTTTTTCGCCTTGTTTTTTTTTCTCTTAAAATTACATCTCAGAAACTATTTTTTATGTACACTATTTACAAATATCAAGTTCGATATCGACGAACTTTAACTCGTTAATGCCACTCACATTGTTATTGCATCTTATCCTCGCTAACAAGTTTCTCATTCGAAAAAAAAAAATTGAAATATTTGACAAATATAGAAGAATCAACAAAAAAAAAAGAGAACGAAAAAAAATAAAAATTGATATTTTTATGTTCTTCATTTGTTGAACATTGTTTTTTTCAAAAATTAAATTTTGTCATATATTTCAGTTTTTTGCCAGCAATAAAAAAAAAGCTTATCTCAACCATCCAGGGCCAAAATCTACCAAAAAACACTTCTTGTGGTTTACATTCTTTGTAAAACCACAAAGAAAAACTCGACCAGCGATCATAATTAATGATTCGTAGATTTCGTACAATTTTCTTTGTTTTAAATCCATTTTCGCTGACGATATTTTTTTTTAAGTAACGCCTGTTAACTTAATCGTCAGCTTAAGCTGATCTCAAACAACACCAGGTTGTAGAGTCAATAAGTAAGTTGTTGGATCATAATATCCAGCCAAATAATAAATGTCGTTGTTATCGTAAATTGTCAAATATCTGTGTGGCTCTTTACCTAATTTTTCAGTATAATCCGGAAGTGGAAGCACTTCACATTTATGTGATATTGTCTGCACATCATTTTCATCCATGTGCGGCGATTCAAATAATGCGCCCTGTTGACAAGAAAAAAATTACAATTACCCATTTTTACTGTGAAAAATGTAAAAAAAAAAAAAATTGTAATTTTTATCTTTGAATTTTATCGAAAATGTTTTTATATCGGTAAACTTGGAAGTAATACTTTCACCCCTTTTAAATTATTTAATTTAATTATTAATTAATTAATATATTAATTTAATTATTATTTTCAAAAATTTATTTCGAAAAAATTTAGGGCTAATTTAGGGCTCTTAAATGGTATAAAAAAAATTTTCAAAAAACTGACATATTTTTAGTCCTAATTAAAAAAAATTATTAAAAAAAAAATTTGAATTAAAAATTATCTAAATTTCAATTACTTTTTAAAATTGTTTTTATAAAATTCTTAGCATAGTTATTTTCAATGGATTTTATTCAAATTTTTCAAAAATTCAATTATTTTAAATAATAGTCAATTAAAAATTTTCTAAAAATTAATTACTTTTTGAAATTTTTAGATAAATTTGAATAAAATAAATTTACATGAATTTCAATTACTTTTGAAAATCTTTAGTCTTCTAAAATTCAATTCTTTCGAAAACTCTCACAGTTAACTTAATTATTTTCATTAACTTTAATCAAATTTTTTTTTTTAATTCAATTATTTCAAAAAAAAGTTTTTTTTTCAAATTTCTATATAATTTAATTAATTTTTGAAAGATTTAAATAATTTTAAATACAAATTTACAAAAAAAATTTAAATTTCTTCAGATTATAAATTTAAATTTTGTGTAAATTTGTATTTAAAATTATTTAAATCTTTCAAAAAGTAATTAAATTATAGAGGATTTTTTTTTCTCCAAATTTTCTATAATTTAATTACTTTTTGTAATTTAAAAAAAAAAATTTGTGTAATTTTTTTACTTTTTTATAAATTTAAATTTTTTGTAAATTCAAAATTATTGTAAATATTTCAAAAAGTAATTAAATTATAGAGAATTTTGAGGAAAAAATCCATTATAATTTAATTACTTTTTTGAAAGAGATAAATAATTTTGAATACAAATTTACAAAAAAATTTAAATTTCTTCAGATTATAAATTTAAATTTTGTGTAAATTTGTATTTAAAATTATTTAAATCTTTCAAAAAGTAATTAAATTATAGAGGATTTTTTTTTTCTCAAAATTTTTCTATAATTTAATTACTTTTTGTAATTTAAAAAAAAAGAATTTGTGTACTTTTTTTTATTTTTTTATAAATTTAAATTTTTTGTAAATTCAAAATTATTGTAAATCTTTCAAAAAGTAATTAAATTATAGAGAATATGGAGAAAAAAAATCCATTATTATTTAATTACTTTTTGAAAGAGATAAATAATTTTAAATACAAATTTACACAAAATTTAAATTTATAATCTCAAGAAATTTAATTATTTCTAAAATTTTTTGCTAAATTAATTTTGTTCAATTTATAAATAAAATTGTTAATTTAATTATAGATTTTTGAATTAAAAATCTAATTTTTTAAAATTCAAATAATTTTTGCAAATTTTGTGTCAATCCTGATTTAAATGAATTCACAAAATTGAATATAAAAAGAAAATTGATTTTACAAAAAGTTGGAAATTTTTTTTAAAATTAATAATAAAGGAAAATAATTTTTTCTTCGCCTATTTTTATAGTCCTTCTGGACAGCGAAACATTGTGTAAATAAAATAGTTAAAAATTTTTTTTTTTTTGAAAATGGTAGAAAAAATTACTTTTTAATTTATAAAAATAGAAAGAAAAAAATTAACTTACTGGATATTTTAAATTTGATGGACAACCAACCGTTTCCTCAGGATGATAAAACCATTTAACCTTGACAATCATATTCGAACTCGATGTTTCCCACATGGATTCTATCCTGCCAATATAGGGACGATCGGGTCGTCCTGTTGAAAGAAATACTGCACTGTCACCAATTTGTATAGTTTCACTGCCTCTTTGAATTGCCTTGAAAAATTGTTTCTTAGCACGTCCCTTTGCCCCAGGTCGTCTATAACCTTTACCAGCCCATCCCCATAGTTGTCGCGCTGGTAAAAATGCAGCCATTTTACTACGACTCTCAACTGATTCTTGTCTTTCTCTTGGTTTTGCTTTCTTTTCAATTTTCTTTTGTTTTTCAATTTTATTTTCCTCATCATCATTATTATCAATTGCCACATCAGAAATTTGAATTTTACTCTCCTCAATTCTCCAAATATATTTCTCTTTTTCTTTTTCTTTTTCTTTCTCTTCCTCTTTCTCAACTTGTGAATTTATATTAATCGGTAATTCTTCCTCGCTCTTTTGTCCAGAACAACTTTCTCCTCCACTGTATTAAAAGAAACAAAATATTAAATTCTTTTATAAAAAAAACAAATTCAATTAAAATTACAAAAATTTTAAAAACAGTTAAAAAAAAATGTTTATTAACCTATTATGACTGGCTTCGCTGTTACTGTGATGACTGTGCTTATGTTTATGCTTTCTATGTTTTCTGTGCTTATGTTTACGATGTTCCTCGCAACATTTGTGTCTCTTGTGTTTCTTTTTGCCCTCTTGACTTTCCTGAAGTCTCTTCAATTTATCACGTCTTCGTTTCTTCATTCTCTTTCGTTCCCAATAATCATCAGTTGCAATGACATTTGTCTCATCATGATTTTTTTGCTCCATTATTTTATCCTCGGAAGACAATGATGAAAATGAAGAATTACCTATTGATGAATGTGACGAATTTCCCTGTGACGATGTTGAAAGACGTTTCTCCTCCGTTGAAAGTGACGTCTGTCTTCGACGTTTACCCAAAGTTAATAGAGGATTTGGATCGTATTCTAAAAAAAAAGGAATACCAAAATAATTAAATTTTAATTGTATTTTTTTTTTTTTATGTTTTTACTCACCAACAACAGGATAATCAGGTTGCAATAGTCTAATATCATCGAGAGCAATTCTTCCACTATCGCCATCATCAAATTCAACACTCACGAATTTTTCATCTAAATCAGGATCAGGTTCAGTTGGTTCCACTGATGTGCCAGGATAAAGACATCTGTATTGTTGACTCCAATAGGCGCAAAGTCTTGTTCCCGGTGGCAATTCTTTTGTTGACGAAGGACAAACTTCCACGATCTGTAATTTTATTTTTAAAAAAATTTTTCAGGCATTTTTATTATAAATTAATCAAATAATTTTTTTAATTGAGAATACTTTTAATTGAGAATATTTTTAATTGAAAGTCAATTTCTAAATTTATTAAATAATTCATTTCTTTTGAAACTTACAGCATCGCGGAGAATTTCTTCTTGTGAATGAATATGAGGTCGATTTCCTCTCTCACCATCGAGAGTTATTGCATAAATGTCAGGAGCTTGTACTGCACTTAAACGACCAGCATAAAAAAGTCCTCCCATTGCTGTAAGAACTCTCAATTGATCAATTGCAAGATGTGCCGATGTCAGTTTACATTTATTTACAATATTCTCATTTCTTTCGGCTTTTGCTGCTTTTACACATTCTCTGCATTCTTTACAATCATTTGATTTACGTCGTTTAGCATCTTTTTTCTCAATTGACTTTCGTCTATTTGGCGATGATGAACTTGATTTTCGTTTTTTCTTCTTTAATTTATCAATTTTTTCTTCATCTCCTTCTTCTTCTTCGTCTTCTTTTTCTTCTTTTTCTTCTTTCTCTTCTTTTTCCTCGACAATTTCCTCTGAATCCTGAGAAATTGAGAAAAAAAAAATATTGTAAATAGAAAAAAGGGTTTTATTTTTTAAATAATTACCTTTGAAATTTCCGGAACGTTTATTATTTGTAAATTATCAATTCCGCTCCAATCGGCGCTCTCTTCATCCTCCCAAGTTTTTAGTTTTGCCTCGGCTTTTAATTTTGGTTTTACTTTACCTCCCTGTTTCTCCAACTTTGAAACCTGACTCAGCTTTGCCTTTTCAGCAATAATTGAACTAATTACGTTCTTATTATGAAGTGGAGTCTGCTTTGCTGGTTTTACTTTTGGCTTCATGGCTTTTTGACTTTTGCCATTTGATTTTGACGATGCGAGACCAGATTTAAAGGGAAGTGGCGTGTAGCCTGTTTTTCCCACAAACTGCAAAGTCAAAAAAAAAAGACAAAACAAAATTAATGGTAAAAAAAAAAAAATAGTAAAAATAAATTATAATTTTTTTGAATCAAACCTTGCTTTGAAGATGACGATTTTTTGCATTCAGCAAATAACCAACAAGAGAATTTTTATTTTTTGGCTTTTTGGCAACAATTGTTTCAGTAAAATGCCTTGAACTTCCCAAAGTGCACATTAACTTTCTTGGACGACCAACTTTACGTTTTTTCGAAGCTGAACCTGAACTTGTTGTTGTTGAAACTGGTGAAGGTGTCTCGCAACTTACCTGAAATTTTTAAAAAACATTTTTACTTTTTAACAGAATAGCCGCGAAAAAAGAAAATAAATTAAAATTAACAATTTTTTTAAAATTTAAAACATAAAATTTATTTCAAGGGTAATATATTTTCAAAATTTTAGTTTTACAATTTATTTATAAATTTAGGAATAAAATCATTCTGAATTAAAATTTATTTTCAAATAATAAATAAATTTGATTGAGTTTTATTTGTTAAAAACAATTTTCTAGTTTGAGATTATGTTAACAAAAACAAAATTTTATTTTTTATTCAAAATATAAATAAAAAAAAACTTACAGTTGATCTATTATCCTCGTCCTCTTGGACAGTATTTGCCGTTGAAAGTGTTGTAATTGGAGAATCCACAGGTGTTACTGCAAGTGGAATACTTGGTATATTATCCAATAATTTAATATGACTTCGAGGTTCATTAATTTTTTTCAAATTTGCGTTACATTTTGTCAGCACATCTTGAGTCACTAACGATGTGTCTTCAATTGAATGCAAAGGAGATTTTGCCAATGTTTCCAAATGATCCACATGTCTTGTGGGAGACATTATTCCACCCTCCGAACTGGGGAAAAGAAAAAAAAACACACAAATTTTCAAAATCCAAAGCAAAGAGTTTTTTTTTAATATTTTAAATTAGTAACTTATTTTTATTTTCAAAAAAATGCGAATACTGAATTTTTAATAACTTTCCTACTTATTAAATCAAAATTAAATTTTAATTTAAGTTAAATTTTTCATTTAAATTGAATTTTAATTTAAATTGAATTAAATTAAAATTGGATTAAAATACAAATTAAATTAATACTAAAGAGAAAAATAAAGAAAATTCTAAACTATAAAGTAAATTTTTACCAGGAAGACTGACTCTTCTTTCTTCCCCTAATGAATGACTTTTTATCCTCTTTTTTCGGCGTAAGCTTCGATAATTCCATTTGCTTTTCTCTGTATTGCCTTTGAATATCCGCCATTCGAACTCTCATATCCAATTCCATTGCATCCATATTCGGAAAATCAACTTCATTATCCGCGTGACTTTTTCTACGAAGGAATTTTTTTGTTTCCATTTTCGCCTCAAGTGTACTATACTGATGATGATTAAATTCAGCAATCTGATGATTATTTTTCTTCTCTTCATCATGATCATCATCTTCTTCCTCATCTTCCTCTTCATTTTCTTCTTCCTCTTCATTTTCTTCTTCCTCTTCCTCTTCTTCCTCTTCTTCTTCATTTTCCACATCGTCATTTAATTTTCTCACCAAATTTGTGTCATGAATTTTCGAAAAATCAATATTACGTTTTGCATTCTCCTTTTGTTGAAAAGCAATTTCTTCATGACGCGAAGCATAAGTTTTTAATCGTTTTAAACCCTTGTAATCGTCATTATTTGAATATTTTCTTTTTTCACCCATTAAATTTTCATTTTTCATTGTAAAATCTTTACCAAGATTCAATAATAATTGTCCAGCTTGTGATAATTCTTCAGAATTATCAAATTTTTTTGGCTCAGCAACCTCTTCCATAAATCTTTGTTCGGCAAGTGCACACAATAAACCCAATGGACTATCAACATTATTATTATTTTCATTATGCTGTGTTGATATTGTTTTTAATTTTGTTGGCGATTTTTCTGATTCAATGACAATATTTTCTGGTTTTAAATGTTCAAGTTGTTCAATACTATTTGATAATAATTCCAATCCACTTAAATCGACATTTATTTTATCTTTTTTCAAATTTTTCTCATCATCATTATCAGAAGTTGTAAAAACAAATTTCTTTTCTTCTTCTTCGTCTTCATTGTTAATTTCTTTATTATTATTTTTATTATTATTATTATTATTGTTTTCAGTTTCTGATGAATGTGAAGAATCAATTTTTTCATAAGAAGATTCACATGATTTTAATATAAGTTTTTTCAATCGATTTTGTAATTTTCCAGTCTCACAACTTTTTGTTTCCAATTCTTTTGTTTTCACTTCGTTATCATGTAAAATGGCTTCTGCGTGTTTTTTTAATTTTTCAACGACATTTTCAATACCTGGATGAAATTTTTCTTGATGTATTTGTTTTTTAATTTTTTCCGGTGTTATTTTAATGGGATCAATTGATTTTGTCTCCTTCTCTTGTTTTAGATTAATTTCCTCGTGATCGTCGTCAATTGACGGCATATCAAAGGACTTTATTTGAGTTTGACTTTCGATTTTTTCTTCTCTTGAATCTAATAATAAATCATTGCAAGTATCAAGTTCTAAATTTCTCTCCTTTTGGGATTCTTCAACGATTTTTAAATTTGGCTGTAAAAAAAAAATTTTTTAATTAAATTTAATTAAACATTTTAATTAGTTTTGAAAAATAAATAAATTACCTGTTCAACGGGTTCGTTTTCTTTTTGTTGATCAATGAGATCTTCGGCATTATATGATTTTCGATCCCTTCTTCGGCTGAAAAATTCCAAATTCTCATGAAAGCTATCACAATTTTCCTCGGTAATTTCAATAATTCTTGGACCATTTCTAATTCGTTCATCATCATTTTCAATTCGTCTCTCTGGATCACTGGTCTCAATAAATTCTCTACGTTCCTCATGACAATTAATAACATGTTCAATTGTTCTATCAATTGAAGTTACAGTTCTACCATCGCGTGCAATTGAATATTTTGTACAATCAGCCATATTAATAATTGTATTTTCAGCCTTATCAACTTTTCCCAAATTAACACTTGTTGTTGTTATTCTTACGACATTGCAAATTTTCTCCGGGGTTGATGAGACAATTTCAAAATTTGTAAGATTTGTCGTTGTTTGTAATTGACATGATGAATTATTTATTGTTTGTTCTTGTTTAACAATTGGTTCAATCAATGGTAGATCCTCATCAATTTCGGAGGCTTCAGTTTGATTTGAGGCGTCCTGAACGCCAACGGGCATTATTTCCGGTGCATCGATTGCGTGGATCGATATTTCCGGCGGTGGTGTTAAACAGGAAACCGGTGATGTTGCCTTCGAAAGAAATGCATTTCGCTATTTTTTTTTTTTTTGGAGCAAAAAAATAAAAAAAAACAAATCACCAAAATGTGTTAGATTAGAGCTGCATTAATATATTTTGTTAAAGCAAGCGAAAATTAATTAATAATTAAAAAATTAATTATTTGTAAATAGTTTTATAACTTTTTGTGAAAGTATTGGAATTAAATTTTGAAAAATGGAGAAATAATTTAAAAATGAAAAAAGGAAGAAAAAAAGCGTAAGCGCACGCAGCACTTGATTGAAATTGAAATTTACCTGAGATCTGCAGTGTGTGGGTTCTGTTTGATTTATTTGTACTAAAGCTGGTGTATGAGGATAATAATGTAGAGTCGTAACCAAGGGAGTATCCGGAACTAATGCACCCGTCATCGATGATACTGTCTGCAGTTGCTTTGATGATTCGGTCGATGCTACAAGTAGATAAGAGTCGGCGCTAGAACCTTGGATGTTTCAGAATAATATGTAAACGTAAAGTAACGAATCTCAAAATCATAAATAAAACATGCGTCATTTTAAAATCAATTTTCAAATTAAAATGCGTATTATAAAAATCATATAGGAAAATATACCAAATATATATAAAAATAATAAATATAAATAAATAAAATATAAATAAATAAAATATAAATTAATAAAATATAAATAAATATAAAACAAATATATAAAAATATAAGAATACGAAAATATTAAAATACAAAAAAATATACAAAAATATAAAAATACGAATTATTAATGTAAAAAAAACAAAATCATAATTTAAAAAAAAAATATCGAAAAAAATTTGCCAATTAATTAAAAAAAGAAATTTATCAATGAAAAATGATTCAATGATTTTTTGTTTAGTGATAAATGAATAAATAAATAAAAATTGAAAAATGTGAATGAAAAAAAAAAAATGGAATGAAATTGATGAAATTTTCTTACTGATAATGGCAGTTGGACTGTTTCCACAATCAGCTTCAATTTTGACAATTGGAAGACTGGATTGTTGCTTTCTCTTGTTGTCAGCAAGAACTAATCGTGTTCCATTAATATCGCCAAGAAGTTGCAAAGAAGGTGGCGGTGGTGGTGGAAGAAGTAGCGGAGGTGGTCCCACATTATTGTTACTGTGATTTTGATAATTTGGCCATACAACCGCCTGTTGCATTTGTTCTGAAAAAATAAAATAATATATATATATATTTAAATAAAATTTTCTTAAATTCCAAAAATTAATTTTGTTTCAAAAATTAATTTTGTTCTAAAAATTAAATTTGGTTCAAAATTTAAATTTGGTTCAAAAATTAATTTTGTTCCAAAAATTAAATTTGGTTCAATAATTAACTTTGTTTCGAAAATTAATTTTGGTTCAAAAATTAATTTTGTTCTAAAAATTAAATTTGGATCAAAAATTAATTTTGTTCCAAAAATTAAATTTGGTTCAAAAATTAAATTTATGGTTCAAAAATTAATTTTGTTCCAAAAATTAAATTTGGTTCAATAATTAACTTTGTTTCGAAAATTAATTTTGGTTCAAAAATTGATTTTGTTCTAAAAATTAAATTTGGATCAAAAATTAATTTTGTTCCAAAAATTAAATTTGGTTCAAAAATTAAATTTATGGTTCAAAAATTAATTTTGTTCCAAAAATTAAATTTGGTTCAATAATTAACTTTGTTTCGAAAATTAATTTTGGTTCAAAAATTAATTTTGTTCTAAAAATTAAATTTGGATCAAAAATTAATTTTGTTCCAAAAATTAAATTTGGTTCAAAAATTAATTTGGTTCAATAATTAACTTTGTTTCGAAAATTAATTTCGTTTAAAAAATTAATTAATTTAATTTAATCAATTTTCGACAGTGAAAAAAATATTTTTATCACTAAAAAATATTTTTGCCACTAAATTTTTTTTTTTTTTTTTAAAGAAAAAATACATTCTTATCCGAATCATAATATATAAATTGATTTCTATGGCTTCATTCATGCGAACGATAATTTCGAAACAAAAGAATAAGTTTCGACTAAGAAAATTCGTTCCTTATAAAAAAAAAAAAAAAAAAAAAGAAAAAAAAATCAAAGCCATAATTCGAAGAGGAGATTCTGTAACATGACTTCCCCATTTCTTCGGTGCAAAATCGCGGTTGAATCCACTCAAACGATGAGTATGAACAAAGAAAAAAAAAAACGTAGGTATTCAAGTGGAGAAGAGAGAGAGAAAGAGAGAAATAGAGTGAAAGAGGAAGAGAGAAATAAGGGGGAGAAGAAAGTGGAAGGTATATATATATAGGGTAGAGAGAGAGAGAGAGAGAGAGAGAGAAAGAGAGAGAACCTTTAAACAAGAGGGTGAACACATAGCAAGCAAGTTATACGGCAGCCATAAATGTGATAATAAATGGAGTCTCGTACGAACATAATGAGATTGCGAGGAGCATTGAAAAAAGAAACGATCGACGCACACGGCAAGTTCCTACTATATGGACCAAAATGGAAACCATACACATCAGTGATTGGCGCTAAATGAGTTACTTAACATTTTTAATGATTCTTGCAAAAAAATGAAGGAAGAAAAAAAAAAAAAAAAAAAAACCATAGACGTTGTTGATATATAACATTATTTTATAAATTGTAACTATTTTGTAATTGTAATTGAAAGGCATAGATTCTTTACGAGATAACTTATTTGTTTAAAAACGAGATTTTTTTCTTTGAAAAATTTAGTTACGCCAGAGCTAATATTTTTTCAATATTTTTTTTTTTTTTTATTCTTGACTATTATGACTTAACTTATTATCAAATAAATATTTATTTGTATTAAATAAATTTTTATTTGTAAGAGAAAAATAAAAAACAAAAATTACTTTTTTTCACTTTCAAAGTAAATCCTAAACTGTATGGAATTTTTGTCAACATTTGTTCCGGAAATAGTGAATAATATATACTATTTCCAGAGTAAATTTTACTATTTCAGAAGTAATTTTTCCTACTTCCGGAACAAAATTTGCAACAAAATTCTTTTCCGGAAATAGTGAAAAATATGCTATTTCCAAAGTAAATTTTACTATTTCAGAAGTAATTTTTTCTACTTCCGAAACAAAATTTGCAAGAAATGCACAAAAATTCCGGACAGTTTAGCTTTTACTTTGTAATGTAGTAAAAGTTACTTTATTTTTTTTCCGTGTATCAAAAAAAAATTTTTAATTGTATAAAATAATTTTTATTTGCATTAAATAAATTTTTATTTTTATAAAATAATTTTTATTTGTATAGAAAATAAATTTTTATTTCTATCAAATAAATTTTTATTTCTACCAAATAAATTTCTTTTTATCAAATTTTTATTTGTAACAAACAAATTTTTATTTCTACCAAATAAATTTATTTTTACCAAATAAACTTTTATTTGTAGCAAATAAATTTTTATTTGTATCAATAATAATTTCTATTTGTATCAAATAAACAGTATATTTAAATCAATAATTTTTGTATTTAATTGACTCAAATAAAAATTATATTTGGTTCAAAAAAATATTTTTTTCAAAATAGTCAAGTAACCGCGATTTTAAAAATAAAAAAAAAAAAAAAAAAAAAAAAAAAAAAAAAAAAAAAAAAAATTTCAGTTTACCAAAGCCGCATTTTAAAAATTATATTCTTAATTTATAGAATATAGTCCCTATATTTATATAAATTTAAATAAAATTAATTTACCAGCAGAATGTATAAGTAGAAGATGTCCCGTTGTTGGATCTCTAACTAATTGTAAACCAACTCCAACTTGTGGAAATCCAACTGGTTCCATTGGCATTGCTAAAAAAAGAAAAACGAAAATATTTCAATAAAAATTTCTCTCGACAATTATACAATTTTATATAGACACAATTTAAAATACTTTATATATATACTTTTTACTAAAAAGAAATATATTTTTGTAACTTGGTATTAAATTGAATGATTTTTAAAATTAAACTTATAAAAAAACCAATAATTGGCAAATAATTAAAATGGCTGATATAAGAATGTAAACTTTTGCTCCATTTAAAAGAAAAGAGACAAAAATTGCTTCTTTATTATCGTGAATATTTCAAAACGATATGAGACCGATATAATAAAAATGTCACTCGGTCACCGTATATACGAGAGAGAAATAATATATTGTTATAAATAATTATGAAAATAATTCAACTAATGCCATTCAGAAAATTGTATTCTACTCTTTAAAACAATATTTAAAAAATTTTAATATTTTTTAAAAATATTTAGCCGAATTGTCATTTAACCAAAATAATATTTAACCGAAATTTTATTTAACCAAACTAATATTTAACCGAATTTTCAATTAATTAAACTAATATTTAACCGAATTGTCATTTTACTCAAATTCCAGTTAGCCGAATTGTCATTTAACTAAACTATAATATTTAACCGAATTTTCATTAAACTAATTTAATCAAATTTTTATTTAAGCAAACTAATATTTAACCGAAGTATTATTCTACTCAAATTCCATTTAACACGAATTTTTATTTTACCGAATTGACGCATTTAATCAAATTATTATTTAACCGAATTGTCATTTTACTGAATTTTCATTTAATAATTTCTATTCAACCAAATTGTCATCAACTAATATTTTACCTAATTAGCACTTAACCAAACTAATATTTAAACGAATTGTCATTTAACCAAACTAATATTTAACTGAATTGTCATTTAATTAAACTAATATTTAACCGTATTTTTATTTAACCAAACTAATATTTAACTGAATTATCATTTACTCAAACTAATATTTAACCAAATTGTCATTTACCCAAACTAATATTTTACCGAATTATCATTTAATCAAACTAATATTTAACTGTATTTTTATTTAACCAAATTAATATTTAACCGAATTGTTATTTAACCAAACTAATATTTAACTGAATTATCATTCACCAAACTAATATTTAACCGAATTGTCATTTACCCAAACTAATATTTAACCGAATTGTCATTTACCCAAACTAATATTTAACCGAATTGTCATTTAACCAAACTAATATTTAACCGAATTGTCATTTACCCAAACTAATATTTAACCGAATTGTCATTTAACCAAATTATTATTTAACTGAATTGTCATTTAATCAAACTAATATTTAACCGAATTTTTATTTTACCAAACTATTATTTAACTGAATTGTCATTTAATCAAACTAATATTTAACCGAATTTTTATTTTACTTAAATGACATTTAGCCAAACTGTTATTTAACAAAACTGTCATTTTACTGAATACTGATTTAACCAAATTTTTATTTAACCAAATTGCCATTTTACTGAACTTTTATGTAAATAATACAATATTTAACCGCATTTTTATTTAACCAAAATAATATTTAACCGAATTGTCATTTACCGAAACTAATATTTAACCGAATTGTCATTTAATCTAATATTTAACCAAATTCTTATTTTACCTAATTGACATTTAGCCAAACTGTTATTTAACAAAATTGTCATTTTACTGAATTCTCATTAAACCAAATTTCTATTTAACCAATTTGTCATTTTACTAAATCTTCATTTAACCAAATTTTCATTTTACTATGAACTTTCATTTAACCGAATTTCTATATTTAACCGAAGTGTAATTTCACTGAATTTCCATTTAACCGAAATTAAACTTAAATAAAGGAACCAAATTTTTATTTAACCAAAAATTTTGACAATTATTCTACCAAACACGGATAAAAATCTTCACCTATACAACGCAGCGATAAGTTTCACTGGAACAGCGAAATATTTCACTAAAACAGCGAAAGTTTCTTTTTTGCTATTCTAGAGAAACATATCGCTGTTCCAGATAAAAATTTTTGTTTCCGTAAATTATCAATTTACCGTATCCTCCATTTTTAATTGAATTGCCCACCGAATAAAATCTTTATCTAGAACAGCGATATATTTCTCTAGAATAGCGATAACTTTCCCTATTTCAGTGAAACTTATCGCTGTTTCAATTTTTCCATCAGGTAATCAAAAAAAAAAAAAATTATTAAAAAAAAAAATGGTTGCCCTCACCTGCGGCGGCAGCAGCAGCAGCAGCGGCGGCGGCAGCGGCTGGATATTGCCACAGCGTTGGGGGCCAAGAAGCGGCAGTTGCCGCTGCTGCACCAATGCTTCCCAAGTTGGAATTCAAACTTGAATTGAGGGCGGCGTTTAAAGAGGGCGGTAATCCGCCTCCAGTGGGAATAGCCAAATGGGAGGTACGATCCTCCCCTCCAGGGCCGCAATGCACCAACGTTGTTCCTCCCATTGCCATGGCCGTGGTTGAACCTGCAAAAATTCCCCCACTTACTTTTTACAATTTATATATATATATATATATATAGCCTCCTACTCGTAGTTTCTCTCCTTCTCCCCCCACCACCAACACTCTAATCTAATACCCCTCCAACCCCTAATTTAACTCCCATTTCTCCTCCTCCTCCTTCTTCTCTCTACGTCAAACCTCCCATCTAGTTCACTCTCCTCTTCCTTGCCCCCACACCTCACCCCACCCCCAACATCCACCTCCCCCCCTCGGGGGAATCGAGTCTCCTTTCGACCATTACACTCTTATATGAGTCTCACATGCTGATCCTAAATCTTGCCAAATCAGATTGTTAGAACCAGATAATCAGGGTCGGATTGGGGAATTTTAATTTTTTTTTTATATAGATATATATATTTTTTTTTGATTCGCTCAATTGACGCTTTTGCTAATAAGAAAAGCTAATATATATACAGGGGAGAAAAAAAAATTTTTAGTCATTTTTTACTAAAACTTCAGTAAAAATTAAGTTTACTATACTATATCAAATAGTAATTTTTACCAAAAAAAAAAAATTAGAGAAAATTTCTACTAATTTTTAGTCATTACTAAAAATTTAGTAAAAAAAAATAGTAATTAGTGAGAATTTCTACTAATTTTTAGTTATTATTAAAAATTTAGTAAAAAAAATAGTAATTAGTGAGAATTTCTACTAATTTTTAGTCATTACTAAAAATTTAGTAAAAAAATAGTAATTAGTGAGAATTTCTACTAATTTTTAGTCATTTTTTCACTAAAAACTCAGTAAAAAAAAGAATACTAATTCAAATAGTAATTTTGTTAAAAATAAGTAATTTCTACTAATTTTAATCATTTTTTACTAAAACTTTAGTAAAAACGAAAAACAATACTAAATTAAATAGTAATTTTACTAAAATCAGTGAAAATTTCTACAAATATTTAGTCATTATTAAAACTTCAGTAAAAATACTAGTAAATTTCCTAAAATCAGTGAAAATTTCTACAAATTTTTAGTCGTTTTTTACTAAAAATTTCAGTAAAAATAGAATACTAAAACAAATATTAATTTTGCTAAAAAGTAGAAGAAATTTCAAATAATTTTTAGTCTTTTTTTTTTATTAAAACTTAACTACACAGTAAAAACAAAGTCTTAAACCGTTTACACCTTAAATTAAGCCCATATATTTTGCATAAGTCTGTCCTTTTTTAATTGGTCTGACTCCGTTTACACCTTAAATTCAGCCTCAAAAATAGGTTGAAATCAAGATTTCTTTTTTAGTGTGTAAAATAAAGATTACTAAATCAAATAATAACTTTGCTAAAACTTAGGAAAAATTCCTTACCTTCTGTTTTTCTTTAATAAAACTTCAGTAAAAAAAATTAATACTAAATAAAATAGTAATTTTGCTAAAAATTCGTGAAAATTCCTATATACATATTATTAATATAGTTTTTTACTAAAACTTCAGCAAAAATTAATTTATACTAAATCAAATAGTAATTTTATTAAAAATTAGTGGAAATTTCTACTAATTTTTAGTCATTACTAAAAATTTAGTAAAAAAAAATAGTAATTAGTGAGAATTTCTACTAATTTTCAATCATTTTTTTACCAAAACTTCAGTAAAAAAAGAATACTATCAATCACATAGTAATTTCGCTAAAAATTGGAAATTGGAAAATGGAAAATGGAAATTCCTACTTTTTTTTAGTAATTTTTCGCTAAAACTACAGTAAAAAAAAATTAATAATAAATAAAATAGTATAATTTCACTAAAATTAGTGAAAATTTCTACAAATTTTTTGTTATTTTTTTTAATAATTTAAAAAAAAGATTACTAAATCGAATAGTAATTTTACTAAAAATAGTAAAAATTAGTAAAATTTTATACTAATTTTTATCTATAAAACTTTCGTAAAAAAATATTGCTATACATATATATATAGGTAAATTATATTTTCAAATCGAGTTTACAAATCGACCTCGTGAAACTACATAGGTACGCGCGAATTCAAAATGATATTCCTCCAATATATTCTCATTCTCGAGGTAACATTACCTTTGTAATAAACTCTAGCATGGATCATTACTCTCACTTTCATGAACAAACCACTACAAAGCTTGCTATACACGATGCATAATACGTCCATTTAACGACTACCCGATGACCCTTCCCTCCCCTCTCTCATTTTTTTTCTCTCTCTTCGACCTGCCATCGTGTGCCTAACACAAACTATCTTCATATTATTGCATATACGGGCGCGCGAGTACATCAACCTTTTTTCAGCTTGGAAAAGCTCTCTCTCTCTCTTTTCTCTCTCTCAATCTCTCTCATCACCGTCTTCGTCATCGTTAATTGAAATATTTACGTCCACTCCCATATAAAAGAGATTAATTAAAGAGTATGTCAAGTTTTTGACTAATGAAATCGTTCCTTCGAATTTATCTCTTCCTGTATGATAATAGCTTCTTTTATATATCATTATAAATTTATATCATTATCATATTTTACAAGCAGGAGAAAAGATTTCTTTCATTTAAAGAAACCAATTTCTTTGACTTGTTTTCTTTCATTTAAAAGTAAAATTTTCTTTGAAACAAAAAAAGTTTCTTACTTTCAAAGAAAATTTCATTAAATCAAAGAAATTTGCATTAAATCAAAGAAATTTTAACATATATTGATACATATAGAGATAAAGAAACATTTATTTGAATTAAATAAAAAATTTCTTTGAAACGAATATAAATTTTTTTTTGAATCAAAAATAATTTGTTTGAAACAAATAAATTTTCTTTGAATCAAAGAAAAATTTGTCAAAGAAATTGATTTCTTTGAATCAAAGAAATTTTTTTTCTCGGTGTGACAAAAAACCGAAACGAGGAACAAAAGAAAGAAACTAAAAGTCATATTACTGCATCATGTCTATAACAATACTGACAAAACTATTATATCGACGCGATATTAGATTTTAGATCCGCTTCGTTATTATATACATGAAGAATTCTCTCAGGGTCGACTACATTCACGAGCGCATTATATTTATTTCTATGCCAGAGGATAATAATGCTTATAGCCCTAATAAACCATCATAAGAAATATTCAAAATTTAACTATATATTTATCTCAAGGATTATCATCTATAGAAATATATTTCAATCTATTCTAATTAAAAGGAAACTAATAAATATAGTTATAAATTTCAATACCAAGAAAAAATCTCCATTTTTTTATGCGCGAAATATTTTATGATGTAACCATACTTCCGGGTTAAGATTTTAGTAGTATAACCAAATTCTTGTGACATATTTTGATCAAGCTCAGCATCCCATGGACAAATCAAAAAGTGCGCCATACATTTTTTTTCGAAAATTTTTCCCTATTTTATTGGCGGTATTCCCGAACGATTATCTCGAAAATTTAATTTTTCGAAAATTTTTCAAAAATTTATTTGAGTGTAGCTCAGCATCCGCTGGACCAATCTAAAAGTGCGCCATACATTTTCTGTTCGAAACTTTTTCCCTATTTTATTGGTGGTATTCCGGAGCGATTATCTCGCAAATTTAATTTTTCTAAATTTTTTCCAAATTTGTTTTCTAGTGTAGCTCAGCATCCGCTGGACCAATCAAAAAGTGTGCCATACATTTTTTGTTCGCTACTTTTTGCTAAAGACTTTGACGGTATTGCCGAACGATTATCTGGAAAATTTAATTTTTCAAAAATTTTTCATAAATTTTTTTGAGTGCAGCTCAGCATCCGCTGGACCAATCAAAAAGTGCGCCATACATTTTTTGTTCGAAACTTTTTCCCTATTTTATTGGTGGTATTCCGGAGCGATTATCTCGCAAATTTAATTTTTCTAAATTTTTTCCAAATTTGTTTTCTAGTGTAGCTCAGCATCCGCTGGACCAATCAAAAAGTGTGCCATACATTTTTTGTTCGCTACTTTTTGCTAAAGACTTTGGCGGTATTGCCGAACAATTATCTGGAAAATTTAATTTTTCAAAAATTTTTCCAAAATGTTTTTTAATGCAGCTCAGCATCCGCTGGACCAATCAAAAAGTGCACCATACATTTTTTGTTCGAAACTTTTTCCCTATTTTATTGGTGGTATTCCTGAGCGATTATCTCGCAAATTTAATTTTTCTAAATTTTTTCCAAATTTGTTTTCTAGTGTAGCTCAGCATCCGCTGGACCAATCAAAAAGTGCGCCATACATTTTTTGTTTCAAACTTTTTGACTATTTTTTTGGTGGTATTCCCGAGCAATTATTTTGCCAATGTAATTTTTTGAAAATTTGCTTCTAAAAATTTGAATTTATTTTCCTTTGTTTATTTGAATGAAATAAATTTTATTTTCGTTTTGGCCAATAATGATTTAAAATTTTTTTTTGGTAGTGTTATGATTTTTTAAATTAAAACAGTATTGTTTTTTAAACCCCACAATATTAATAACTATTATATAATAAAAATAGTACAATATCAAAACTTACCAAAATTGTCAGGTTGGAAGTGATGATAACTCGCATGATGAGAAGTATGATGACTCAGAGAGACGTTACGCATTGATGACGTGGACGTTTCCTGATGCTGCAGTCTTTGTCTCGCTAGTGCAATACCAACAGGTATACCACCTGCACCTGTATTAGAAAGTACTATTCCTGAAATTAAAAAAAAATTGTATATGTTAAAAGAATTGAATTTTATTTACTACAAGGTCTTAGTAAAAAATAACTAATTCTTAGTAAAAAAAAAAAACTAATTCTTAGTAGAATACTACTAATTCACTTTGTTAGGTTCCTTCAATTAATAAAATTTAATAAATAAATTAGTTTTTCTACTAACAATTAATTATTTTTTTTACTAAAAAATCAATAAAACCTATAATTAGTAATTTTCTACTAACAATTATTTTTTTTATAGTAAAAATTAGTCAAAAGTAGTTTTCTCCAACCAATTAGTATTTTTCTACTACCAATATTATAGTAGTTTTCTTTTATTAACAGTTATTTTTTAACTAAAAAACAAGTCAAAAATAATTAGTAGTTTTCTACTATAAATTATATTCATTTTGTACTATCAATTGGTCATTTTTTACTATTAATCATGGAAAGAAAACTTTCTCTGGAACAGCAATATATTTCTGTAGAATAGCAAAAACTTTCGCTATATTTTAACTGTTCCAGCGAAACTTATCGCTCTTCCAGGTGAAGATTTTTTTCCGTGATTATTAGTTATATTTTGACTAAAAATTAATCAAAACGGTTATTAATTTACAGTAAAAAATTACTAATTAATAGTAAAAAAAAACTACAAATTTATTTAGTAGGACTACTATTTTAGTTATGGGACTAATATTTTAGTTATATAGTAAATTTTAATAAATTAATAGCTTTTCTACTATATCAGTCATTTTCTACTAACAATTAGTACTTTTGATAAAAATACTAATTATTACTAATAATTTGGTTACTAATTTATTTTACTAAACGCGAATCCGGTGCAGTTGAATATTATAAAAGTAACAAAATCAAATTTCGAAAGTAAAGAACAAATTTTTAGCTTAGAAAAATATTTAATTATAACTAATATATTTAATTAGTAATTTAAATTTTTCTAAACTATATTAAATAGCCAAAAAAGAAAAATCTTTCACTTTAAAAATCGAATAATAGCTTTCGTAAAAATGCGTCTTAATGTCCGCGTTTATAACTCCATCATTCCTTTCCCTCTCCTCGAATTCCAACGATTCCATTATGATTCTTTTTTTTTTTTTGGAGGGTTGATCCTATATATAAATGAAATGCATTTAAGATGCATTTGACTTTAATACACGCATGCATATGGTATATATATAGAGAGATTAGGTTTAGGGTCGAGACTCTTTTAAACCACGCCTTGTATTTGCGTCGCCATGCGTGCCACGCACCTCCTACTTAACGAATGATCGTTCTTTATTCCTTTTTCTTTTCTATCGGTATAACACACACATAAACACGCATATATTCACACATTTACACACAAAGCGACGAGATATTTTCCCCTCATTTTTAATTTTTTTTTTTTTTTTCAGCCTTTTTTGCGGCCTTTAGCCGCGTATAGCCCTCATGCAATAATATCTTGAGGACTTCCCTTCCGCCCTCCCACCCCTCATCGAAAAAAAATAATTATTTACAAGTACACTTGCCAATTTTTATGCGTAGAAATTTTACGGACCAATTAAAAAATTTTTAATTTGAGTACACTAGAAAAAAAATTTATTCGAATCAAATAAATATTTATCTGTAGCAAATAAATATTTATCTGTAGTAACACTCAGAGAAATGGTATATTTGTCTCCGAGCCTACTAACTCATTTATTTGTTGCAAATATATTTTATTTCATTGAAATAAAAAATTTATTTGAGGCAAAGAAAAATTTACTTCTGACAAATAAAACTTTTATTTACGCCAAATAAATAAGTTAGTAGGCTCTGAGACAAATATACGTTTATTTAACTCAAATATATTTTATTTGGTTCAAATAAATCATTTCTCTGCGTGAAATAAATATTTATTTGTATCAAATAAATATTTATTTGTATCAAATAAATATTTATCTGTAGCAAATAAATATTTATCTGTAGCAAATAAATATTTATTTGTATCAAATATAGAAATTATTTAAATCAATTAATTAGTATTTGTTTCACCCAGAGAAATGATATATTTGCCTTAGTGCCAAATAAATATTTGTTTAATTTAAATAAATTTTTATTTGATTTAAATAAACTTTTATTTGATCTAAATAAATATTTATTTGATCTAAATAAATATTTATTCGATTTAAATAAATATTTATTCAATTTAAATAAAAAAAAATTATCTATGCCAAATAAATCGGCTAGTTGGCTCTATGAGACAAATATATACGCGTTTATTTAACTCAACTATATTATATTTGGTTCAACTATAAAACATTTCTCTGGATGTTCAAATACAGAAATTTTCGGTTTTAAATATAGTTCATTTAATTCAAATATAAAAATTATTAGGTTCAAGTAAATATTTATTTGTTAATTGTTTTTAATTAAATATTCTAAATATTGAAACTAATTTAAATTCGTGTCCGAATTTTTTACTTAAAACATTAGTAAAATTTAACTAATAGCAAAAAAAGTTTACACTACCAATTTAGTAAAATTTAACTAACTGAAAAGCAAAAAATCAATTACTAATTCAAATTATAATTTATTTTTTTACTAATTTAAAATTAGATGAAAAAGCAAATGATTTAACATAAAAAAAAAAAAAAATTTCAGTGATAAATCTCAAGTTTGGTCAGACGGCGCCAAATAAATTACATTCAGAAAAGAATATAATCTTACGCATAAAAAAAAAAATTCTCTTTTGATAACATTTTATATTATATATCTTTTCAAAACAAGAATATTCACTTTCAAAATAAATCTATAAATTTTGGTATAAAAATCCAGAAATTCAAGAGAAAAAGAAACTAATATCTTTTTTTCTTCAACGGCTTGGCAAGAATTCTTTCACTAATTTAAATTAGTAAAAATTTCTACTAATTTTTTAGTAAATTTTTCATTAAAATTTTTTGTAAAAAAAAAAATAAATAATTTTACATTTTACAAATTTTTCCTAAAAATTAGTAATGATTACTACTAATTTTTATCTAAAACTTTAGTAAAAAGTATACTAAAAAGTACTGCGCTAAATCAAATAATATAATTTTACTAAAAATTAGTGAAAATTTCTACTAATTTTTCATTAAAATATTAATAAAAAATATTACTAAATACAAATTTTCTACTAATTTTTAGTCATTTTTTTTTAAATTCAGTAAAAAAAATATTATTACATCAAATAGTAATTTTCCTAAAAATTAGTAAAAATTTCTACTAATTTTTTTAAACAAAATCTTCAATAAACAAAATATTACTAAATCAAATAGTAATTTTCCTAAAAATTAGTAATGATTTCTACTAATTTTAATCTAAAACTTTAGTAAAAAGTACTAAAAAGTACTGCTAAATCAAATAATACAATTTTACTAAAAATTAGTGAAAATTTCCATACTAATTTTTCATTAAAATATTAATAAAAAATATTACTAAATACAAATTTTCTACTAATTTTTAGTCTTTTTTTTTAAATTCAGTAAAAAAAATATTATTACATATCAAATAGTAATTTTCCTAAAAATTAGTAAAAAATACTAATTTTTTTAAACAAAAACTTCAATAAACAAAATATTACTAAATCAAATAGTAATTTTACTAAAAATTAATAAAAATTCCTACTAATTTTTAATTAAAATTTTAGTAAAAAATATTACTAAATGAAATAGTAATTTTACTAAAAAAAAACTAGTACTAAATAAAATAGTAATTTTACTAAAAATTAATGAAAATTCCTACTAATTTTTAAATAAAATTTTAGTAAAAAATATTACTAAATGAAATAGTAATTTTACTAAAAAAAAACTAGTACTAAATAAAATAGCAATTTTACTAAAAATTAGTGAAAATTTTTACCAATTTATTAGTGAATTAAAATATATTTATATTGGTGTATACACAAATACTGCGGTAAATATAATGATGTACCAACAGGAGTATTATACACGCACTCAAGAACCCCCAAGTCTTTTTTTTATGGTAACGATGAGGGGTTCTTCGTTGAATGTAATCTCTCATTGGTCCACCGCAACGAGACGCTTCTATATTACGCCCTCCTCCTCTCTCTCTCATTCCTTTCCCTTTTTTTTCTACCCTGTTTGATTTTTTACATTGCGCGTACTAGACTTCACTTTTATATATATATATTATAAAGCTGCCTTTCACACAACTATTAAACATCTTTACGCCACAGGTACCAAAGAGAATGGATAAATTTCCCTTTCCGCAAAATATATTTCCCGCGCGCGCGACAAAAAAAAGGATTACTTTTACACTTGTAGACAATTTTTTTTTGTTTTCACAAAAATTTGTCAATTTAAAAAATTTTATTTTTTTATTTATTTATTTTACACTGGAAAACAAATTTATTTGATTCAAATAAATATTTCTTTGAAGCAAATAATTTTTATTTGAACCCAATAAATATTTCTTTAAAACAAATAATTTTTTTTTGAACCGAATAAATATTACTTTGAACCAAATAATTTTTATTTTAACCGAAGAAATATTTCTTTGAACCAAATAATTTTTATTTGAAACGAATAAATATTTCTTTGGAGCAAATAATTTTTATTTGAATCCAATAAATATTTCTTTGAACCAAATAATTTTTTTTGAACCGAATAAATATTTCTTTGAACCAAATAATTTTTATTTGAACAAAATAAATATTTCTTTGAACCCGATAAATATTTCTTTGAACCAAATAATTTTTATTTGAACCGAATAAATATTTCTTTGAACCAAATAATTTTTATTTGAACCGAATAAATATTTCTTTGTAGCAAATAATTTTTATTTGAACCAAATACTTATTATTTGAACTGAATATAATTATTAGATATTTAAATCAAATAATTGAGGAGCCGGATCGTAGAACCGATTCTTCACTAATGCGCAAGTCCCCCGCGCAGCTGAAAGCTGGCTCACTTGAGGGACTCCGGAGAGAGCGAAGAATCGGTTCTACGATCCGGCTCCTCAATTATTATTTGAACTATATAATTTTTAATTGGACCAAATATAATTTTTATTTGAGTCATTTACATTTTATTTTTTTTATCCAGAGAAATGTTTTACTTGAACCAAATATAATATATATATATTTGAGTTAAACAAACTTATATTTATCTCAGCCCATTTATTTGGCGTAAATAAAATTTTTTATTTAAATCAAATAAATATTTATTAGGGTCTGATACAAATATATAATTTCTCTGAGTGTTTAAATACAAAAATTATTGATTTAAATACAAATTAATTTTGATTTAAATAAAAAATTATTTGATACAAATAAATATTTGATAATATAGTAATGTAAATCAATTATTTGAATCAAATAAATTTTTTTCAGTGTAACAAGTGTATTTTTAATGGAATAAAATATTAGTTAACATTCTCATTAATTTTTTGTAAATTTTTTTTTCAAAATGCATTTCAAAATTATCAGAATTGATTGACATAAAAGATGAATTTCGAAATATATGTATTAACTTATTAAAATATCAAGTAAAATATTATATACATATATTTATCTATAAATATATATATATATATATATATATATATATATATATATTTGAGACAATATTCAATATTTACGCTTCGCTTGCATTTGTATTTCACATTATTTATGAATATCAGTCTGATTGTTTTATCAATATTATTTTTGGAACGTATACATATACATAAAATTGAAAATCATTATAGAGAAACCACAATAACGGAATTTCAGAATTTTATATAAATTTTAAATTGCTGTACTAGTTTCATAAAAAGAATTTTTTTTTTTTTTTTTAATAAAATGAACACAAATTAATTTTCAATCTTTTCCTATTAATTTAATTTTTTCTTTAATTAAATTAAATTAATTTAATTTAACAATAACTTTAATAATGAAACTCTAAATTAAAATTAGTAGAATTTTTAACTAATTTAATTATTAGAAATTGACTTTTTTCAATTAGTTAAATTTTACTAATTGTAAAGAAAAAAGTCAGTCAATAAATTTTTTTTTTATTATTAATTAACAAAATTTTAGTCATTAGTTAAATTTTACTAAATCGTTATTAACAAAAAATTTATTTTACTATTAATTAGCAAAAATTTTTCTAAAATTGTTATTAACAAAAAAATTTATTTTACTTATTAACCCCTTGACAGTCCAGGGCCCATATGTGGCCAGAAAAAATCGTGCCACCTTTGTGCAAGTGGCCATATATGGCCATCGCAAAAAAATAATACTAAATTTAATTTGATTCGCCTGAAATTTGTTACTCGGGGGTTTTTGGGGTCGCTGAATCCAAATTTGAAGTCAGATTTCAAAAAAACAAAATGGCGGACCCAAAATGGCGACCATGAAAACTTAAAATTTATCAGATTTACATGAAACTCGTTGCTCAGGGGTTTTCGGGGTCTCTGATTACGAATCTGAGGTCGGTTTTTCAAAATTCAAAATGGCGGATCCAATATGGCGGATAATTTAAAAATTAATGCGTTTTGACCACAAATTGTTACTCGGGGGTTTTCGTAGTCGCTGAATTCGAATTTGAGGTCAGTTTTTCAAAATTCAAAATGGCGGATCCAATATGGCGGATAAATTTTTAAGAAATCAATCCGATTTGTCTGAAATTTGTTATTCGGGGGTTTTTGGGATCGCTGAATTCGAATTTGAGGTCGGTTTTTTGAAATTCAAAATAGCGGATCCAATATGGCGGACAAATTTAAAAAAAAATTTTTTTAAAAATTTGTCCGCCATATTGGATCCCCCATTTTTAATTTTGAAAAACTGACCTCAAATTCGAATTCAGCGACCACAAAAACCCCTGAGTAACAAATTTCAGGCAAATCGGTTTGATTTTTTAAAAATTTGTCCGCCATATTGGATCCGCCATTTTTAATTTTGAAAAACTGACCTCAAATTTGAATTTAGCGACCCCAAAAACCCCCGAGTAACAAATTTCAGGCAAATTGGATTGATTTTTTAAAAATTTGTCCGCCATATTGGATCCGCCATTTTGAATGTTGAAAAACTGACCTCAAATTCGAATTCAGCGACCACAAAAACCTTAAATATGATGAAGTCATATTTTTTTGGAAACTTTTTTTTCGGACCGTTTTAGGCCCACCAGCGATTTTTAACTGGACTGCGAAGGGGTTAATTAGTAAAAATTTTTCTAAATTGTTATTAACAAAAAAAATTTATTTTACTTATTAATTAGCAAAATTTTTTCCAAAATTGTTATTAACAAAAAAATTTATTTTACTTATTAATTAGCAAAAATTTTACCAAATCGTTATATTAAAAAAAAAAAATTCTTTTTTCAAGGGAAACTATTTTTGTATAAATATACGAGTTAAAATATATATGTGTGTTATGCGTTCGTGTATATTTTCGTAGAATATTTAACCCTATATATCCGCAGACTAAGAAATCATTCGTTGGTGCCGCCGCGTTGGCAAGAGTTTTGTGTGCGCCTTTTGCCCGATGAAACATTCGACTCGCGTTGGCAGCAACTGGCCATTTGCAACATGCTTCTTTACACTGAAAGCGACTTTCAACTTTATGTGTACACACGCCAAGCAGCAATTGCAATGTCTCGCAAATGAATTTGGCTGTTCAACATAACTTTCAAACTTTAAAAAAAAAACTAACTATTTCTATATTCGAAAACATATTGGACAACATCATTAATATTTCCTTTTACTGTATATACATCAATATATATATATATAATATTTACTATAAAATTCTTCCAAATTTTAAAAAAATAATAAAAAAAAAAAAAATGATTTTGAAACAATTTTTTTTTATCTAAAATCAGAAAAAAAATTAAGTTTACCCACAGAGGAAAAATATATTCATCTCGAAGCTAAAAAAATATTTTTGAAACAAATAAATATATATTTATTTGTTTCAAATATATTTTTAGTTAAATAACAATTTTATTTCCGCTTGATAACATTTTATTTGTGCTAAATAAAACATATTTGAAACCAAAAAAATATTTTTAAATATTTTAATTTTTTAAAAATATTTTCAGTTACATAACAATTTTATTTCCGCTGAATAAAATTTTATTTATTCCAAATAAAACATATTTGAAACAAATAAATATTTATTTAGTTCCGAGACAAATATATTTCGAGTTAAATAAAAATTTTACTTCCGCTTAATAAAATTTTTTTTTGTGCTAAATAAAATATATTTCAAATAAATATATATTTATTTGTTTCAAATATATTTTGAGTTAAATAGAATTTTAATTGGCGCTTAAAAAAATTTTATTTGTGCTAAATAAAATATATTTGAAACAAATATTTATTTAGCTCTGAGACAAATATATTTTATTTGAAATAAATAGAAATTTTATTTGCGCTTGTAAAAATTTTATTTCTATTAAATAAAATATATTTTAAAACAATTATTTATTTAGCCCTGGAGGCAAATATATTTTTTATTATTTATTTGCTTTAAATATATTCTATTTGAGATAAATATAAATTTTACTTCCGCTTAATAAAATTTTTTTTGTGCTAAATAAAATATATTTCAAATAGATATATATTTATTTGTTTCAAATATATTTTGAGTTAAATAAAATTTTAATTTGCGCTTAAAAAAATTTTATTTGTGCTAAATAAAATATATATTTAAAACAAATATTTATTTAGCTCTGAGACAAATATATTTTATTTGAAATAAATAGAAATTTTATTTGCGCTTGTAAAAATTTTATTTCTATTAAATAGAATATATTTTGAAACAAATATTTATTTAGCCCTGGAGGCAAATATATTTTTTATTTGCTTTAAATATATTCTATTTGTGATAAATATAAATTTTACTTCCGCTTAATAAAATTTTTTTGTGCTACATAATTTATTTAAAAAAAACGAATAATAAGTTATTACACTGAAAAAAAAATTTATTTTATTCAAATAAATTTACTTGACTATCAAATAAATATTTACTTGAACCAAATAATTTTTGAAACCAAATAATTGAATATTACAGAAATTTTATTTGAACCATTACTGTATTTGAACCAAAAATTACTGCATTTAAACCAACAATTTCTGTATTTGTACCAAACATTTTTTTTGAATTAACAATTTCTATTTTTGAAATAACTGACTTAAAAATTATTCTGTCCAAATAAATATTTATTTGATAATATTCGAATTATTTGAATCAAATAAATTTTTTTTTCATATACTCGAGACAAATATCATTTTTTATTTACTTCAAATAAATTTTGTTTTTCTCCAATAAAATATATTTCTCTGGAGTAAAAAAATTTCTGTAGAGTTGAAAAGAAAAAAATTAAAATAAATCCTTCTATATATGGAAATTTATATAAAAAAAAAAATTCTAATTTTTTTTTACTCACCATTTTCAGATTTTGGTGGCACAGGTTCAATTTTCACAGCCGTCGTTGTTGCATGAAGAGAAGTCGATACCTCGGCAACTTGACAAGGAACGGAAGCCAAGGGTTCTCTTTTTACTAAACTGTTCAAATTGGAGCTATCAGTGACATTTATAGATGAAATATCCTGTCCATTCCACGATGATACAACTGGCAGAGTTCTACTGCATCCCGCGTCAGAGTGAACCATTTTTGTTTTGCCTAAAAAATAAAAATTAATAAATTATATAATTTGTTTGAAAATAGCTGTTTTCTTGGAAAAAAATTTTTTTTTTCTTTTTTTTTTTGAAATTGCAAACAAGATTTCATGATAGATTAGTGTCGGCTGTTCCCTTAAATCTCTCTCTTTCTCTCCGGTCTAGATCCTGTCTAAGCTTTTGCAAATGCTTCATAGACCCAGAAGGATGATTCACAAAAAGCAAAACGCGTGTGTAAAACTGATACACGCGTTTGGAGAGTAGGAAAATAAGTTTCTCTCTCTCTCTCTTTGGGTATAAAAATAGAATATCCATCGCAGCAGTAGCAGACCTTATGTAAGAGTGATCTTGCCTTCCCTATACGCCTAGGCAAATCAACTTTGTAACATTTTTCATTGGTCAAAATTAATTCAAGGTCGAAAGTTATTTTTTATGACCGAAATCGGTTTACAACTATTATACTTTAAATCTATTTTGTTACACCCAAAAAAATTATATATTTTTCTCAGAGCAAAATAAATATTTATTTGATTTAAATGAATTTTTTTTCGATTTAAATAAATTTTTATTTCATTTAAATGAATAATTTTATTTATGCCAAATAAATGGGCTGAGACAAATATGTATGTTAATTTAACTCAAATATATTATATTTGGTTCAAATAAAACATTTCTCATACACTGGAAAAAAAAAATTTTATTGATTCAAATAACCGATTGCTTGACTATTGTCAAAATAAATATTTATTTTAACCAAATCACTATTTATTTGAACCAAATAATTTTTATTTGAACTAAATAAATTTTTATTTTAATCAAATAATTTTTATTTGAACCGCAAATAAATTTTTATTCGAACCAAATAATTTTTATTTGAACCGAATAAATTTTTATTTGAACCGAATAAATATTTCTTTGAACCAAATAATTTTTATTTGATTTAAATAATTTTTTTTCGATTTAAATAAATTTTTATTTCATTTAAATGAATAATTTTATTTACGCCAAATAAATGGGCTGAAACAAATATATACGTTAATTTAACTCAAATATATAAATATTTGGTTCAAATAAAACATTTCTCATACACTGGAAAAAAAAAATTTAATTGATTCAAATAATCGATTGCTTGACTATTGTCAAAATAAATATTTATTTTAACCAAATCACTATTTATTTAAACCAAATAATTTTTATTTTAACTAAATAAATTTTTATTTGAACCGCAAATAAATTTTTATTCGCACCAAATAATTTTTATTTGAATTAAATAAAGTGTTTGAAGCAATCATTTTTTTGTATTTAGAACAGAAAATCATTTAATTGACAAAAATAAAAAATTATTTAATACAAATAAATATTTATTTTTTGATAATAGTCAAGTAATCAATTATTTGAATCAAATAATTTTTTTTTTTACAATTAAACCTACATTGAGTCTACTTTTAACCTTTTTTAAACCTAGTTTCAATCTACTTCGAAATTTTATTAAAACTTAATTTCAAATATTGTTTCAACATGAAGGAAAAAAATAAATCATTAAAAATTATAAAAAAAAAATTATAAATCATTGAAATTATTTTTTCAATCATTAATTATTGTTATTTTACCTCTCGTAAACCTTGGAATTTAACAAGAACAATCCTTTATCAAGAAGACACTCCTAGTTTTCCAAGTAACATTATACAAGTGTTGAAAATAGGCGGATCACATATATAAATAAAAAAAAATTAAAAATAACGTCACTATAATAATTCTAAATGAAGAATATATACGAATAGCTCAAACGTTGTTACTAAGATAAATGGTCATTGTTTAAAGACACTTCATCAAAAGCGCAAACGATGCCATTATAACTCATTTTATATAAATAAAGAAATTATCAATCCTTGTCAAATTCAAGAAAATCTCGTTATTGCCAAAGCAGAAATTCTACCGATTATTTTAAATCTTGTATTTTATTATTATTATTATTATTATTAGGCCTAATCGCACGTATTTAACCTAATTCCCATTTGGCATAATTTTTATTTTATATATATTCTGATTTAGCCTAATATTTATGTAATTTAATATTTATATAATTTAATTTTTATAAAACCTAATTTTTATGTAACCTAATTTTTATAAAACCTAATTTTTATGTAACCTAATTTTTATTTAGCCAAATATTTCTTTTATCTAAGTCTCTTCTTTTATCTAAGTCTCATTTTGCCCTAATATTTCTGTAACCTAATTTTTATTAAGCTAAATATTTTTTTATATAATCCTTATTTGGCCTAATATTTTTTTATAGTCTCAATTTTTTATGTCACTTAATTTTCATGTAACATAATTTTTATTTAGCCAAATATTTCTTTAATCAAATTCTCATTTGGCCTAATATTTCCGTAATCTAATTTTTATTTAATCAAATATTTCTTTAATCTAATTCTCATTTAGCCTAATAATTTCTGTAACTTAATTTTCATTTAGCCAAATATTTCTTTAATCAAATTCTCATTTAGCCTAATAATTTCTGTAACCTAATTTTTATTTAGCCAAATATTTCTTTAATTAAATTATCATTTGGCCTAATTTTTTATGTAACCTAATTTTTATTTAGCCAAATATTTCTTTAATCAAATTCTCATTTGGCCTAATATTTCTGTAATCTATTTCTTATTTAATAAAATATTTCTTTAATCTAATTCTCATTTAGCCTAATAATTTCTGTAACTTAATTTTCATTTAGCCAAATATTTCTTTAATTAAATTCTCATTTGGCCTAATATTTCTGTAACCTAATGTTTATTTAGACAAATATTTTTTTTATATAATTCTTATTTGGCATAATATTTCTATAACTTAATTTTTTATGTAACCTAATTTTTATTTAGCCTATAATACTTCTGTAACCTAATTTTCATGTAATCTAATTTTTATTTAACCAAATATTTTTATTCAACCAAATTTTTCCTTTAATTTAAAAATTAAGTTAAATAAAAATTATTACACCGCCTATATATAAGAATTAAATCAAATTAGAATCTAGCAATAAAAAATTATGCCAAATGAAAATTAAATAGCTTGTAAAAATTAGATGAAATATACAAATTAGGCCATTTTAAAATTTTGATAAATTTGGATAAATTATTATGCAGCTTAAGGGGCTTAAATAACTTTAAATATTAAAATAATTATATTGTGAAAAATAAATAAGAAATTTTTTCTAAATAAATATATTTGAAATTAATATAAATTAAAAGATTAAAAAAAAAGAACTTCACTCACCATTAGTGTTTTTGCAGTAGCACGATTGTTTAGTTTTATTCTCCAATTTAACAGGTTGTCCTTGCGTTGGTAGGAAAGCCTCGCGTTTTTTCGTTGTTCCTTGAAGGAAATTATTGTTATTATTATTATTATTATTGGTTTGTGCCCCTTGCATAACCATTGTTGTATTGATACTGCTCAAATGACTGTTGGTACTGTTTGGACACGTTGGCGAATTCAATGATGGCGAACATATTGAGGAACCAGTTGGCGATTGATACTCCTGCAAGAGAACACCCGTTGTTGTTGGTACTCCCGTTGAATTTGGCGATGAGAAACTGTTGATTGTTAATGTTGGCGGATTTCCAGTCACTAATGACAATTGAGGTGAAAATGTACTTTGATGAAGTCCACCTGTAATTCAAAAAAAAAACATCAAATTAATAATAATATTTATTTGAATTAAATAAATTCTTTGTTATAATAAATAATTTTTATTTTTAAAAAAATAAATTTTGTTTGTATCAAATAAATTTTATTTGTATTAAACAATTTTTATTTGAGTCAAATAAATACTTAGTTATAACAAATAATTTTTATTTTTTATCAAATAAATTTTATTTTTATCAACCAATTTTTATTTGAGTCAAATAAATACTTAGTTATAAAAAATAATTTTTATTTTTTACAAAAATAAATTTTGTTTGTATCAAATAAATTTTATTTGTATCAAATAAATGTTTATTTTTATCAAATAAAATTTTTTTTGATATTTTTTTTTTTTATTTTTTTTTCTGTATTTGAAATAAATAAAAATTATTTACCATAAAGCTATAAATATTTATTTGCAGCAAAATATTTTTATTTGAATCAAATAAAAATTATTTGCTATATACTTCTTTGGTACAAAGAAAATAAATATTTATTTGTAGCAAATAATTTTTTTTTTATTCATATAAATATTTATTCGTATCAAATAATTTTTATTTTTAAATCAAATAAATTTTCTTTCTATCAAATATAATTTTATTTTTTTTATTTGTGTCAACCAATTTTTACTTGTATCAAGAATCATTTTTTCATTGTAACAAATAAATTGTATTTGAAAATCAATAATTTCCATATATTTGAAACAAATAAAATTTTAATGGCTCAAATAAAAAATTATTTGATTCAAGAAAATATTTATTTGATAATAGTTGAATTCGAATAAATTTTTTTTTTTAATCATTAAATTACAAATTAAATTAAACTAATAAATTTAAAAATATTAACAAAAATAATTTATTAAAATTAAATGATAAAAAAGGAAAAAATGAAAAAAAAATGTTTTTTTAAATTTAAAAAAAAATTGAAAAAATTAAATGTAAATATACCGTGATGAAGATGATGTAGTCCGGTGAGATTTAGTGTGTGTTGCGTGTGCTGTGTGTGTTGAGCATGATGCAGACTTCCAACATTAACGGCTCCAACTCCTTGGAGGCTGAGTGCCTGTTGTCCAGTTGGCGCAGCAAGATTAGCCAAATTTTTGGCAAGTAGCTCGAGCTGAGTCACGGGAACGGGACTGTAGGGTGAACCAGGAGGCGGTGTGGGAGCACCCCAGGTGTAGCCACCCACACCCACCCCCACTGCCGCCGAGAACACGCTCTCTGAAACTGAAACAAGAGAAAATGGTCTTGTTTTATAATCGATTCCAATTTTTTTTTTTTTTTTTTTTTTTTTTGTCAAATTTTACTAATAAATAAGTAAGCTAATTTTTTACTAAAAATTTAGTAAAATTTAACTAATTTAAATTAGTAGCGGATTTTTTGCTTTAAAAGATAGTAAAATTAAAATTATAAATATTTTCAAAAAAAATTTGTTTACTAATAATTTAGTAAAAATTAACTAATTAATAGTAAAATAATTTTGTATGAACGATTTAGTAAAATTTAACAAATTTAAATTAATAACGGATTTATCGTTTTAGAGTTAGTAAAATTATACTTATAAATATAAAAAAAAATTTTTTGCTAATAATTTACTAAAATTTAACTAAATTATAGTAAAACAAAAATTGTTTTACTAACGATTTAGTAAATTTTTACTAATTAATAGTAAAAAAAATACTTTTTTTGCTGTAGTAAAATTTAACTTATAAATATACCAAAAAAAAATTTTTACCAATAATTTCCTATAATTTAACTAAATTATAGTAAAACAAAAATTATTTTACTAACGATTTAGTAAATTTTTACTAATTAATAGTAAAAAAAAATTTTTTTTTTTGCTGTAGTAAAATTTAACTTAGCAATATAAAAAAAAAATTTTTTACTAATAATTTACTAATAATTTACTAAAATTTAACTAAATTATAGTAAAACAAAAATTGTTTTACTAACGATTTAGTAAATTTTTACTAATTAATAGTAAAAAAAATACTTTTTTTGTTGTAGTAAAATTTAACTTATAATAATATACAAAAAAAATTTAGTAATAATTAGGTAAAATTTAACTAAATAATAGTAAAATAAGTTCTACTAACGATTTAGTAAATTTTTACTAATAGTGAAAAAAAAATTTTTTTTGCTAATGATTTAGTAAAATTTAACTAATTTAAATTAATAACGGATTTCTCGCTTTAGAGTTAGTAAAATTAAACTTATAAATATAAAAAAAATACTTTTTTTACTAATAATTTACTAAAATTTAACTAAATTACAGTAAAACAAAATTGTTTTACTAACGATTTAGTAAATTTTTACTACTTAATAGTAAAAAAAAATACTTTTTTTGCTGTAGTAAAATTTAACTTACAAATATACAAAAAAAAATTTAGTAATAATTAAATAAAATTTAACTAAATAATAGTAAAACAAGTTCTACTAACGATTTAGTAAATTTTTACTAATAGTAAAAAAAAAAAATTTTTTGCTAAAGATTTAGTTAAATTTAACTTATGGTGAAAAGCCAAAACAAAAATTCAAATTAGTTGAAATTTTTACTAATTCAGATTTACAGATGAGATATATCGGTTTTTGAACTTCCTCTTAATTTATACAATACATTTGAAAATCGCTCAAGTTCACGCGATATACTTTGGTCAAAGTTTTACTTTAAAAAAATTGCTTCGATAATTCCGATAAGCGACCAGGCAATTATTTCACACGCACCACTATAATTTTTATTTCCAATAATATTACGATTCCAAAAATAAGACTCAAAAAAAAGAAAAAAAAAAAAAAAAAAAACAGAAATTATATTAAATCTAAAAATTGGATTTTTATACTAACAAATTTGGTTTTGTTGAAACAACTAATTTTTTTTATCGTGTTAAAAAATCAATGATTATAATTTATATACAAAAAAAAAATTGTTTTTACAAATTGATAGTGAAATAAAAAATTTGACCTAAAAATTCGTATGATTTTAAGGGAATATATATTTTTTTTCTCAATTTCTGCTTCGAATTTTTTTTCATGATTTTCCATTAATATATATCAAATACAATTATTCAGCTCCAATATATAATTTTCTATCTTGAGATTTTAAATGTATATAGTATATAAAAAAAAGAGGTAAATTGAGTTCAGGTCATCACCTACTTTCGGATAAATTAAATTTCCATATGTAATTATCTTATTACACATGGAAAAAAGGGGATGATATTTCTAAATTTAAGAATATATATTTTTGGCTCGTATTTTGTATTTAATAATAAAATTCGCGTTCTATTTTTCATTTGTAATTTTTACAAATTTTTTTCAATATAGAAAACAAAAATTGTCGACAAGAATTTTGTATAAAATATATAAATAAACATTAATTAAATAAATAAAAAAAAAATATAAATATACAAGTTATTTTATATATATATATATATATATTAAAAAAATCCTGAATAATTAAGACTGACCATCATGCCTGGTTTGGAAATGATAAAAACCGATTAAAATTTATCGCTTCAGTTACTCAGTGTGCTTTCGATAAATATATATATATATATATATGCAATAAATGAACTGCTAGAGGGATAAATGGAAGATTCATGTAAATGCATTTAAATCAGACGTTTTAAGATGGAAAGCGAAAAAAAGTGAGAAGAAAAATACCTTTAGCTTTTATTTCAATTACTTTATCCTTGCATTTAAGGATAAAAAAATGCAATTTTTCAAAACTAAAAAAATACCCTATATAATTTTATACTAAATTTTAATTCAATAAATGTTTTTATCTAGTTATATATGTATAACAAATTTTTTTTTATTTTCCTCATTTTTCTATCTTAATTATAATTAACAACTAATTCATAAGAAAAATTTATTTTACAATATAAAATATAAAAAATAATTATTATTGGTATTAAAATAAATAAATTAATAGTATAATAATAAGTTAATAATAAGTTAATAGTCTGCCTAAGAAAAATTGAATTTTGTTGAAAATTTTTTTTGACGAAAATCGCTTTAATGGTCATAAAAATGGTGTTCCTCTACTCGGATCGGGCTGTCAATTTTTTTCTACACTTTTGGGTGTATTTGGTGCAGGAAATTGCAAGGAAATAATCTGTCTAAGATAAATTAAATCTCTTTGGGAATTTTATCATTATTTTGAATTATAAAATTACATTATCATAATGATTTAAAATTTTTTATTTAAGAATATTGACCAATGGGATGTTGGTAGCGCGCATGTGTTTCTAGTAAAAGAATACATAAGACAATAATTATATAATAATTATTATTTATTTACACCTGTCTTTAATTGTAATATACGATAATATCATTATAGTATTCTAATAATTATTTTATAATACCTATATTTATAATATAAAAAATATTTTTAATATTTTAATTTTCACGAAAATATAAACGCTAAATTAATATGAAAAAAAAAAAAATTATTTTTAAATTTAAACATTTATGAATTTTTGCTGATCAATATACGAACCTGTGCGTTCTGCAAGAGATCCGCAGCGTGTAAATAGATACACAGAAAATTAGTTTTTCTCATTAAATTAAATAATTAAATATATAAAAAAAAAAATTTTCTCATTTAATTTATAAATTTAAAAAAAGTGTCAATTGAAAAAAAATAATTAACCTCCTTTTTGGTCTATTAAAAAAAAAAAAAAATTGCAAACTTCAACGCGTTTTAAAAATCCACCCTTATTTGGAAAAAAACTACCCCTTTTTATAAATAAAATTTTTTTTTTCCATTTTTTTCTTTCTTTTATTTATAATCGAATATTTGGATAAATGTTTTTGACATTATAAAATGAAAAACTGAATTTTGAAATAATTTTAAAAAAAATTTACGTGAACGATACGAGAGAGAGAGAAAAAGGGTGTTGAAACTGCAAATTTTGTTCAATCATTTTTCGAAACTGTTATTGGCACCTTTCAAGAGTATATGTCTATTAAATTTTACCCCATTTTTCGATATAAAATTTCCCATTTATATGGAATATAACCGTGAGAAATACACGCGATCATTGCAAAAGCGATGGCACAAAATAGATATATAAAATAATTGAAATCGACGAAATTTCATTTTAGACATTAGGATTTTTTTTCTATTATTTTAAATGGAACTGTAAAAAATAATTAATTTGCTTAAAATACAGAAATTATTATTAGTCCAAATACAGTTTATTTAATTCAACTATATTTAGTTTAAAAATTTATTCGAATATTTATTCGAATATTTATTTGATAGTCAAGTAAATTTATTTGATACAAATAAATTTTTTTGTATCATTCTAAATAGTACTTTTTGTATATAAATTTGATACAAATTAATTTTACTAATACTAAAAAATATTAATTAATATTTAAATTTTTTCGTTTTTTTCGCAAATTTTTTTGGGTGGAAGAATCTTTCACCTCATTTGCGGTTCCCTCTCGTGCCAAGGACGTTTTAGATTACACCTTTAACAATGGGTTCGTTAAAGGGGTCCCACCCCCACTTTTTTTTTTTTTGGCGGCTCTGCTGCCGCAAAAATTCCTTTTGGGTACACACACATACATTTTCGAAGCTTCTCTCATTCAACGATTTAATTGCATAATTGCGCCATTGTGCCCCGTGCCAGGGTCCGTGAAAGGGCCGTCATCCAAGGAAGGAAGTACAACGATAGTGAAGAAAAGAAGTGGGGTTTTACGTCTTGAGAATGGGACCCCAAAAAAAAACACAAAATAAAGAGAAAATGTCAAAAAAAAAATATATTTCCAAGAACATTAGCTCTTACAATTATATTTTTTCTTTTTTGAATTTTTCTTGTTTTGTCGCGCTTTTGGGATAAAATTTGCAAGCCCCCCTCCTCCCTTTTTTTAATATTTAAATATGATATAAATTTACCATCTCCCACCTTTAAAAGAAAAAAATTTGCAAAAAAACGAAAAATAATTTAGGCAAAAATTAATTTTTCGAAATATTAATTAATTAATTAATTAATTAATTAATTAATTAATTAATTGAATAACTAATTAATTGTATAACTATTTAATTAAATAATTAATTAATATTTTATATAAGATATAGTGTAAGAAAAGAAATAATAAAAAAAAATTTCCAAGAATAACAATGAATATAACTACAACAATTAATATATATGAGAGATTCAAAAATTGCAATGAAAAGATTTAAATTTACATGTTAATAAATACGAATATAATAA